AAAATTACAGTACCTCCATTTTGTGATATGATATCATATTAATGTATATAAAAAAAAATCAAATGATTAAGATCAGTTTAACTGACCTCTACGATGTAGAACTAATACCGGACATGTATAATTTTATGTCATACATTTGTTTTGATTTCAGTTATTGTTCTGGGTCATTTTAAATTGTTCAGTCACACACTGACTCTAATTAGGATCTGACTGTAATAAAGAGGCATCGAATTAGATCTCAGACTTATTATAGCCATTCAGATCTATTCCAGTGTTCATTTGGTAGACTTAAAGTAGATAATCTAGTGACTAGATTCTAGTAATTGAAAATATATTTATAAAGTTAAACGACGTCTCTATGTGCGATAGCAATAATCGGTATTTATATATATAATATTTATAGTCAGGCATATCCTGCTTATTTAACAGACAATTATTCAGTGTTTAATATTCAGTTAATTACCATATAAAGCATAATTTCTTTAACGATTTATTAATGCGTGCACTTGTGTAAAAATCTAAGAGTAATATTTTTTTCAACTTTCAACAACGTACATCTATTAGCAACACGTTTTTATGGTGCAATTACATTGGTCGACAGGATTTTTATGCGGAGTGCGGTCGATTTCTGAGCCCAACTTTCATTAGTAGGTCATAGGGTGTCATTAATTTATAGATTAACCGGCATAATGAATAACTTAAAACTTCGGCATCATGGAGTTTCCAACTTGCTCCAGAGCCGCCAATATTTGGCATTTGGCTATGTGGCACAATCCATCCGTTGGCTTCAGACGGAAATGTTCGCCTATTTGCCAGCGGGGGCGAGGATGAGACGAGTACTTAAAGAACAGCTTTACCTCGACCCTTTGTCCGTCGATTTCCAGATATAACCAGTTGAAATTAGTTATTTTGGGCATTAAGATTGTTTCACAGGGGCGGGAAAGTTTGTCAGGATCTCAAAATGTACAAATAAATTTAATTGCTTTTATACAAATAAATAACAATTTCCATTAGTATTTTGTGCGTCCGAACTGAGGGCATTTCGTTTGTTGACGTTAATAAAGTTCAAAAGATCATTCATATGATAATTGTTTGGTCGCCTTATGACGCCTGATGACACGACCGATTGTCGTAGACAGATTTCTTTAAAAAACTGTTTAATATTCATAATGAAAAATGTTTATAAATCCACCATCCCCAGATACTCTGAAAAGTGTCTGAAACCCACATCCTCTCACAATCCGGGCGACTGCTCCAACTACTTAGCTATACAGGACCCAACAAGACTAACGAAGTTTTCAAGCACTTGTTACTTTTCGCTACTTGTGAGCGGCGTTTCATCAATGTTCCCAATCAATCCACCCAAACAGCCGAATCCCATCTCAGTACTTGGGGCTGGTGGATTTCTTAAGCGTTTTTCATTAAGAATATTTTCTAGTACAGCATTGTGAATGCAAAATTAATCAAATATAATAATTAACTGTTTAGTTTTCATTTTAGATGCTAAATCAATCATAAATTTGTAAGTTTCCATATCTTCTTCGATTATATTAATGCCGAATTTATAGCATATTGGATATATTCCAAGACTAACATGATTAATGTAAACCACGATGTCCTTTCGTTATTTTCACTCATTACTATGGATACGCCTCGTAAACAATTCGATGGAAAAGTGACAACAAGATGAACTTAACGACATTACACAAATAAAAATAACACCGTCACAAAACATGGGACCTAGTTATCAGTAGCACATTAGAAATAGTAACACAACAAAACATACTCTATTCGTGTACATTTCAGTTAACTTTTCTGTAACGATGTCACCTACTATTCGACTTGAAAACATTTGTGTTAATAAATTAATTAACCTTGAAATATTGTACATACATACAATTCGTGTGTTTATATATTATTAAAAGATTGGATGATTGGTCATGCATGATAACAGATATTCTAAAACCAGTTACATTTGTTTATCATAAAATCGATTTCACGATAGTTAAACTTATTATGCAATCATTTACTATTTTTATCATTATTATTTTTTAAGGCACATCACAAATACAAAAATAATTTAGTTAATGTTTTAAATGACACTTGGCGTGTTAGCTGACTTCGATATTAGGATACTTTTTATCCCACTAAACATTTCCCTAGGGACCATGCGGACGAAGTCGCTGACGGAAGCTAGTTAATTAATAAATTATTCTGCAATAATAAAAGTGATACACAATACAAACCAACAGATACAAAATTTTATTCAAAAGTCAATTATTATATATCAGATGTCAAAATAATCAATTTATATGTTGTCATTCATCATCATGAGCCCTTTTACGTTCCCACTGCAGGGGCTCAGGCCTTCCTTATGGATGGTTAAGGAGAATGGGCCATGACCCTCGACGCTGGCCCAATGCGAATTGGAGGGTATTAACGACTGCAAATGCAGCCGGGACCAACGGCTTAACGTGCATTCCGAAGCACGGAGTAGCTCGATATAATAATTTTTTGGTCACCCATCCCGTGACCGACCCTTGCGAAAGTTGCTTAACGACATCGATCGTGGGCCGCGGCGCTTATCCACTACGCCACCGAGCTACTCCTGTACATATTGTCATTAAATTAGTTCTTTACTTTAAGGTCAAATAGTAGGTCGATGTGTGTGCAGTAATTTGTCCTTATATTGTCGAAAATTGTCATAAAAGATATCGAGTTCAAGAATTCCATGCCGATTATTGTACGAGTTCAGCAGACTTGGTACAGGGACACCTCTACCATCATTGGTTCTACTTACTGGAACACTAAAGAAAGATTCTGAAGTCGAGCGACGAGAATTTATACGTAGTACTTATGTTGGTCTGATCCAGCACCTTTTGGCACCTCAACCCACCATTCAACGCCTTTTGCAAAAAAATTAGATCTAACATTCGCCTACGATGAGCTAAAGTATCCATCGAAAAATACTTGAGTCTCATTGGATAGGCTCCAAAAAGAATGGACCTATTTATAAGTCTTTCATCTACGGGAAGCTACATAAAACTCGTTGAACATAGGTTATAATTTACGCAGGCGAAATTACTGAAAATATAACTTCAAAATGTTAAATTTCTAAGCTATCACGTACCTACAGTAGTAAGTCATATAGGAAGTTGAGTTCAGTTCATAACTTAATAACTTTAATATCCTCCAATATCATTTTATCATCGATCCGACCTTGATGTCGGGGGCCCGCGGCGGCTTGATATTATTTTTACAAACCCCCCTGCAGGGGGGGTCGCTGTTAAAACTCCTAAACTGGACATAAGAAAGATAAGGCATTACAACCCCAATTTATGGTTTGATCAAGGGAACTTGCAGCTATTTAGAGGCCCCCAGGAAAAGAGGCCCGGGGCGGACAGCCTACGTCCCCCTTAGACCGCCACTAATCAAACAATAAGTTTAGTGTTATAACTATATTATTAGACTTAATAATAGTTAAAGCCGTAATAACGTATATTCTTAGTAAGATTGCAATAAATCACTTCCGTATTGCTATGTTCTGGTATTTAATTATATCCCTAGGAATATAACTATAAGTATTACGGCTATTTCTATTTAAATGCGACAAATATAAAGTTTCCTATTAAATCACTCTGTATATTTATGAAAAACGCATCAAGATCCGTTGTGTATTTTAAAATATCTTGGCGTACATATTTTTATGGATACGTTTCATACAAAAAATAAAATAAGACTAGATTCAGCACCTCAATCAACACATTAAAAGTATATAGCGACAACGTTAGCAAATGTTTCCTCATTATAATATTAGTATAGAAAAAGTATTTCAAAAACAAAAGGTATTTTGTTTACTCATTAAAACAAAATACCTTTTGTTTTTGAAATACTAAATCCTCTATCTCTATCCAAAATACATATAGAGAATGTTTAAATGATAAAAAATACCGTCTTTTATTTTAAAGACCATTGTTAGTTTCTGTTTTGTAATTATAGTCCAAAGGAAGTGTCCTTTTCTTGTCTCTGTTCTATATGTTTATAGTAACAATAAGACTGAAGATTCTAATATATATATAGATTATAGAAAGATATATATACTGCATCGAACACGCCGTATGAATCGAATGAGAAGATGTTATAATAAATTGTGTTAAAACGTATGAACCCGTATGACCCACATTTATGCGCGCGGAGTCTTGTGAATATACAAAAATATATTTCTATAGTTTCCGTATATATTGGATAACTATGTTTTCTAATTCTTATCCGCTAATATGTGATCCGTACGGATGTCATACGATCTACGTAAGATAGAAAAAGAATGCCAATGTGTAATCCATAAAAGAATTATACATCGAGGTCACGACCCTCGGCATTCAAGATAAACGTAAAGAAAGTAATGAAAATCAAATAATGTGTAATATTAACCAACAGAAAATATTTCATATTCAAACAACGAAGATGCACACAGCAGAATTTAAGGTTCCATGAAATGTCAATTTCTGCAACCAATTTTGAGCAGTGTTCAAAATTGGCTAAAATAGTTTTATAACCCTTTGCTGATGGCTGTATTAAAACACACAGACCAGAGACAACATAGAAGTGTATTTTCTACATTATCCCAACCAGAAATTGAATCCGAGACTTCAGCGACAGCGCCACATTGAAATCCACACGAAGGTCATTTATAACTAGTACGACTTAACATGTCACCGACGGTTCATTCTATTTGTCCAACGAAAATTGGGAATATTCGAATTGTTCTTATAATTTTCTTAAAATCATATCCGTGAAGATTATCGAAGCATCAAAGGGAGTACCACATCCTACCTCCATTGCAAAAAAATTATCGAAAAATGCGTTTCTTTGAAATTGCATTAGTACTTCGAAAAAGTATGAAATTTTATCATTGAACAAACAGAGTAAGCCTCAGGGTCATGTTAATACGTACAAGTAGCATATATAGATTATTGTATAATATAGGACGTAATATTCACCTCTCTTGAGCGCATGAGGTATCGCACTAGTCGTCCCCGGAGTACGGCGAGAGTATTTTTGTCTAGTTCCATACCACCGCCCGCCACAGATTGGACCAGTACTTGCCACCGGGTCAACGAGTTCTCTAACAAACGAATGTCCTTTTTCTCCACCCTATTAAATTAAATATGCATGTATTTTTTTGAACTGTTTGAGTAAACTCCCTGTTCACAAGAAATTGGGAAAGATAGAATAACATAGATAAGTTTCTGAGCAAGTAATTCCAAGGAATAAATCGTAGACCCGAGCCTGATGATATTTTATTAAATATGCACATCAAGCCCTTAGATATTAGATAATTTTAAAATTCCTCACTCTTCACGTCATTCAGATATAAAAAATCATATTGGGGTCCAGTGATTCCTCGAGGAGACAAGTGAAGGCTGGCTTTCAAAGCCAACAGAAGGGTGAGCGCAGGCACCAGGACAGTTTGCCAATCTGCAAGACTGGTGATGCGGGCGTGTGCGGTATAGGGGATGACTAGGGAATGCAATCTCGCAGATCTCGGTCTTTTTTAGCGAGTTTGATCACGGTCGAAAAATGAGCGAGATCTTGCGAGTTTAACGAGATTGCACTCGAGCATAAATTTACAATTTTTTTATTTATTCTAAGTGCGGCAGCGCGAACTTATGCGATTCCGGGGGTTAAAAGGCGAAGTTTTACACTTTTACAGTACTTGTGTTTTCGAAAGGGTCTTCTCGGTGGCTGGTTATCTGGCCAGCACAATAATAAGACGACTAGCAAAGATTCTTTGGATATTTTGTGCTTCTTAAGAAGCTACTTTCAAAATTATTCGTAATAATGACGTGTGAAATAAACTGAATAAGCCTTTAAATTGATTGGTATATTTTGTTAATTTATTCTCTAATTTCTAATAGATCTCTGGGTACACATAGTTTTCTTTTATTGAAAATAATCTCAGTTAAATAGTCAATTCAACTTAGTTAATGAGTTTTATTTTAGTTTTTGTTATAAAAACTGTGTATTTAATAAAACTTTTTTAAATTTGATATTAACAGATAAAACTGCTTGTTTATTTCATTTTGTATTTGATTAGATACATCAAAGTTTAGTTTCTTAAGAGATTAGTAACTGGATGACTAAGCTTCACTTGGCACTTTTATAAAATAAAAAATTAAACCTAACTAAATTGATTTATCGCCTCTGAAAGTCCCTGCATATTTAATGTCATTTAAATTGTTGGAACTGTTTTCGAGATTATAATACAGTAATTGCTCTTTTAAAGATTTTAGATATAAAATATAATTGCGTCAACCAATATTAAATACATAAAACTTTATTGTACCCTTAAAATTTTTTTTTTCATAATTCCTATATTGTTTTCTAATTTATTAAAATATTGTGAGTTGAATAAATATTACAGTAAAACAGTAAACACACAAGAGTGCCGATCTCGCCAATTACGAGATCTCGCGGTATTGATATTCATAAACTCGCGAGATTTCGCCCGCGTCCCAATCTCGCGAGATTGCATTCCCTAGGGATGACACATCATGTTGACCTCTGTCATTGGTGAAGGTGGCTTTGGAGACACAACAGTATTACTACATCTTTTCCTCTTAAAGTCTACCCACATTATGCTTTAACTGTTTTTTGTAAAATGTAATTTTTATTACCTATCTGCCAGTTGCATCTCAACATCAATGCCATCTTCTTTGAAGTCAGGCAATTCAGAGTCATTTATAGTTTCTTCAGCATCAGAAAATGTAATCACTTTATCATCTTGATCTGTAATGCACAAATATTAATATTAAATCACCAATTATAATCACTATAATAATATATATAAACTGTTTAATAGTTATTTAAGAATAAAAGATAAGAAATTAATTTAATGTTTCAGATCGAAACAAACACTTTTAATTCTAATTGTTTGCAGCAACAAACAATATGATTACAAAAACAGAACAGTACAAAAGAGTAAAACTATTTTAACAAAGAATGTTTTGTATAATAAACAAAAAAATGTTTCATAACTTACTTTTAGGTAATGGATGTACAGTTTGGTCAGGCAACAATTGATACTGCTTTAAAAGTTGCCAGTGAGTCATTAGAGCTTTTGCTGTACGAGATGGATAAAACACTTGAGGATTCTGATCCAACAACTCTTGGAACTTCTCTGGAGCAGGGTGTGAAGTCTATGAAAAAGCAACATGAGATATAAATATTACATTCATTGTAAGTCAATGTGCAATAAACTTAAAAAATTAAGTAAACTAATTCAATACAGAAGTTTTTCAGTATACATGAGCTTAGCTAAAATGCAGTTTATTAAGTATATTGTTTAACATTTCCCAAAATCGCTACAAATGTTTTGTTTATATTTGAAGCTTAATTGTACTTCCTGTTCCATATTTTTGTTTTACTTATAAAACTAACTTAAATCTATGTTTACTAAGCATTTTATATTTACTATTCAAAAATGTCATCATGTCACATTTTTGAATAGTAAATATAAATCTTATGCAATGTTTATTGAAAAATAAGATCTTTGAGAATATTGAATGTCTTTTAAAGACTTACACTAGGTAACGTTCCTAACAACTCTTCCTCTGCTGTAGAATACAAAGCCTGCTGTTGTACTGCTGCCACTAAATCTGGGTGTAGGTTGCGCATAGCAGCTACTGCCACTCTCGATATTTCTGCATTATATAGCAGCGCATACCATCGTGATTGAAGCTCCCCAATTGTGAAACGGCATGAAAACTTAACTCCACGATGCACTGTACGTAGATCATTTGTCTATAACAATGTATAAGTGTTTCATATAATATCTAAGCATAAAAGGTAAATAAAAGTTTGTACCTAATCTAACAAACAGAATTTTATAAACTAATTCTGTATCAAAGCAGGTTTTTATTTATTTACAAGTGCTTTAAGGAATTTTAGGTCAATAAAGTAGGGTTTATTACCTGTTGCACACCCAAAATTAAAGCTAAATCATCAGTGGGCTTCCAGCGTCCTAAATCTTTTGTAGACAACTGACTAAGTTGGCCTTTGCGTCTCGATTTTCGTCCTACACTTCCCCCATGAGATATTTTACTAGAGGTTCTTCTTCTTTCTTGTGCTGGTGTGGCGGGCGTCGCAAGAGCTCCACTTATACTTGAAAGTTCTGGTAATATACTTGTGTAGGACTGAGTACGTATTCTCTTTTCTCCTTTGCCCAACGACGCACCAGGCAAGCCCAGACTGTATTCCACCAATTCGTCGTCAAAGCGGCGACGTTTTATAGATCTAGATGAACTGAAAAAAAATAGGTAAATAAAAACAAGTTTTCTTTAACACAAACACAACCTATTTATCTTTATTTAAATGAACCTTCGACGTTTATTATTGTCTTGAGGAGTGCTATCGTAATGAGGAACCGTTACTCCTGGATATTCATTACTGTCTGATGCATTCGAGTGTGTTGTTGGGAAATCCATTTCAATTAACTTTTCCTAGGATGTTCACATTAAAATCAATTTGTCCGTAATATAATACTACTCTTTGTGTTTTCTTATTTGAAATAAAAATAGTAGTAAACAAACATGGCGTCTTATAAAAAAATGACATTTGAAGTAGACGTGTGCCATAGACGTGTGCAAATGTTTATCGAATCAACTCAGTGGGTTGATTTTATTCGGTATAACATGATATAAGTATATCGATTTATTTTTATTAAGTTTTGAGTCTCAGCTAGAAAATTAACCGACCCGATGTTACGGGTTTACTTACTAGAAATTTCGGGTCTTCCCCGTAATATGAACGCGAAGTGCGAACGGTTGGCTTATTATTTTTTCTTAAAATCTAAAGCTTATCTTCACGTAGTGAGTTTCGTTAAAGTAAGTAGGTAATAAGTCGGGTATTCCCCTATACGTTACTGGGAATCAACTACTTCATACTACTTTTTAATTATTATATAATGAATAAACAAATTTGATAATATTAAATAAAGCTACTAGCAGCTTTAAAATCGTAGCTGTTTTGGATCTTTCTGATCTTGAATAGCTTCAACGTAGCTAGCCGATGTTGGACTGTATAATAAAAACTACTTCGATAACTTTCACTTCTTCTTTATTGAATTTTTGAGGGCCAGAGAGCTTACAATATCATGCTCAACCGACCCGTCTTACATTCGTTGGGGTGGCTCGCACTTAGCTCCGTATATAACCAGTTTGTTGTCATATTACATATTGTACCCCTACTTGGCGAAGCCACCCCCCTGACACATTTTTATCGTAAATGTAGGGTAGGTGAATAATTTACATTTAATACCCCTGTTAACGTGCTACTTAAGCCTCCTTAGCTAGGCAATACCTAAAAGAGAACCATACCATAGGAAATTAAAATTCAACCCTTTATAATCGTTCAATTAACTTATGCTATAAACTTAAATAACCTTAACATTATAGGAATAAATACACCCAGAGGTTGTATCGTTTAATATTACATTCATTTGACTAAACCTACTTATTATATATTATTTTACTTAAGATCATTTAATATTAAACCGACGAGACGAGCGTCCATAATATTAGCCATTCAAATACATTATACATTATCCGACATATATCAGATAAAAATCAAATATCGGACTTTTTGCGATCACTGGCTCATTATAACATTTTTTATATTACCAATATTATAAAGTAAAAAGATTTGATAGTTTGCTCTTGTTCTAGATCTAGTTTTTGAATAAACTCCGACTCTATTGGACGGTTTTTTATTATTCTTGTTTAATCAAAAATTGCTACAGTTGCCATCTCACAGTCACAACATCAAAGTAAGTTCGTAATGTGATAAACATTTTTTTTTAAATTATGGCAATGGTATCATTTCAATTGTTTTTAACTTGAAGAATATTATACAAATATACTATATACGAAATATTTTATATACGAAAATAAAGAAACGCAACTGAGTTGGATTTTTAACTAAGTGCACCATTAAAATCTTTGATAAAGTTGTGGTGACTGAACCGTAACGACATCTAACACATTGCCACAACAATCGATAGCAAAAATTAACTGCAAGACACTCAACACCCAGTAACAAGATGGCGATGCACCCCTACAAAAATATTGTAAATGTTATTTAGAACAAGGGAAACTTAGATCGCTCACAATGTGTTTCGTAACAAATCCACGTAAATAGAATGCCCAAGCTACATCGGTTTGACCTCGGTCCCCAGGCTAACAACACCTAGCTCGGAGGGAGACAATTACCCTTTACTCAGGGCCGTATTAGCCACGTAGCAAAATTAGCAAATGCTACAGGCCCCGCGCAATGAGGAAGTATTAAAAAAAACATTAGTTCCCGAAATCAAACTAGATGTCGCTATGATACGTTCTTGATTTCCCCATGACAACCTTTCCGGTTTTCTTTCAAGTTAAAAAGTAAATTAGTTCTCAAAACTCAATAAACAACTAATATTCTATTTGTACTTTTTCGTATTTATATTGATATTAAGGTTCCAACTTTGTATATTTCAAAGGAACGGAAATGACTGTCTTTGGTCCATTCGTTTCCTGCAAAAATCGACTTTTGCTAGAGTCGACATCTAGTGGAGGTGCTTTTTAGTGCTTTTGTTTTTTTTAAATACTTTCTCATTGAGAGCCTCGCTACGGTTCAGAGCCAATTAATTGATTTTTCAAGTCATTGTTAAATAATGCAAGAAAGTTATATTTTTAATTATAAAATTTAAGTGACAGACTAGCTGTGTTGTGTTATTCGGAAGGCAAAGAATGACTTTTCTGTTTCGGGGGGGGGGGGGTTGGCTACAGGCCCTACTCTGGCTTAATTGAAGTACTGCCTTTAGTTCCCCTTATTAGTTGTCTCCATCATCCAGTAAGACCACACCTTCAACCTAACGATTCCTACAAACTCATATACGATTGACGTGATTAAATATTTACGTGTATTGTATTGGTGAACCCCAATTCTGGTCCACCAATGTTTCAATTGGATTTAAAGTGGATACTATGCATATGCAAACACGATTAAATAAAGATTTTATGAATTTTATTTATATTTTGCAAGAACACCAAAATAGAAGTGAAGTAAAAAACAATAGGCATGGACAGCTAATCACAAAAAAACATTGTGTCAAAAAATAGATCAGAAGAGTAAAATTGTTCTATAAATATAAAAAGTATTTTATAAACAAGTAAAAACTCCTTGCTCTAACAATATGTTATTTATTACATTTAAGAAGACGCATTAATATATATAAAAAAACAAAAACATATTTGTAATCAATCAGTTACATCCATAACGTGAATTAATAAAATCATTTCTATAGAACCAAATAACAACATTACCCCTAAATTTCTTAATTTACTCCACATCATATGATATTATTTTTATTATTTATTAGAAAAAATTATATACACGTAAATCACTTTGTGACCGATGGGATCATGCAACAGTTAACAATAGTCGTAATACGAAGGTTTCGAATAATTCATCAAACAGTTTTTGACGCGTAATTTTACGTCTGTAATTTTACTCTGTCCCTATCTATTTGTCGTGGGCAATGAGATACAAAGGTGTTTTGGATTTATTCCCACATTCTAAGTTTTTGCGTTACGCTTTGTAATAACTTATTTGTGCGTTATTCATTTATTGTCTGTGATTTTCTTCTGTTGTTCTTGTTACAATGTCGACAAAATACATAATTTAGTAAATCAATCTCACGAAGTAATGTAATGATTAACACATGCTATTACTATATTATAATAAGTGGAAAAAAACCATTCCAATTAAAAAAGTAAGGACAAAGGTATCTGGTATAAGATATTACAACCTAAGCCTACTCGATTGCCTTAGTTTCAATGTAGCGAGTTAAGCAGATTCTAACCAAAAGTAGCCTTTAGACTATGATACCGGCACATTCCATCGGTATAGTTTGCGTACCTTATGCAAAACATAGACCCACCTAACATCTGCAACGTCATTGAAGATGGACAACATTTGTTGATGGTATGTGCCAAGAACAAAAATTAAAGAGAGTTACTGATGGCGGAATTTGGACTTAGTGCTCTCGATGTTGACTTAGTGCAAGGTATACTAGCAAGCCCCATAAAGGATGTAGCTAAAATATTATGTAGACTGGCTATAACCCATAATCACAACTATATTATCTAATTAACATTATGTTCATAATGTGTAATTTAAGCATTGTTTTAAGGCTCTACATATTATCTTTTTAATACCTTTCTTTTAGTGTAAAAGTACATCCATATGTTATTATAGAATTTTTTAATGGTAAAGATTACCCCTAAATGTTACAAATAAGTTATGGTAATTTACAGCTTCTCGTCTATCTCTTAACATAGAAATCAACTTATTTATACAATATCATTGATACAGCCATATTTTATGCGTGGATACGTCTATATATGAATGGATATATGAGTAATTGATAAAAAAAATAATAATACTAATTATTAATGTTTTAAATAGAGTTTATTGAGTATAGGTCGATAATATGAAAAATATGAAACGTAACGAAATTGGTTAACATTTAAATTACGTGTAAAAGTTAAATCTAAATATTTATTGCCCAGAGTTGTGGGTTGAGTCTGGCAACAATCCAAATTAAATTCTTTATTTAGAAAATTAAGTAATGATGAATTTTCATATATGTCGGAGTTAAAATCTCCACATAAAATGATTGGTGTTACAATGTCAGGTTCCACTGTCGGCAAAAAAATTTTTATAGCTTGAGAATATCGAAGTAATGATTGAAATAAGAAAATTTTAACTTCATTTATAGATGTCTTGGGATAAATATATACAGCTGCTAAAATGAACTTTGTATTATTTTTGAATGATACTTCAACAGAAGTGAAATCTCCTACGAGATTTATATGGACGTGTGTCTCACCAGAGATGTCATTTATTATTGGTACACAATTTGTGAAATTTTCCACACGATTATATATGGCAACTCCACCTGCAAGTTTTTTTCCGGTTCGAGTCATTATATTTTGTCGAGATTTACAGATAAATTCACGGATTTTTGTAGATGGCTCCTTGTCACTCATCCAAGTTTCACTGCATACTAAATATTCAGCAGTTTGGAGTATCGAATCAGTGGAAATGTCATCAGTATGAGCAGCAAGACTTTGTACATTCATGTTAACGATGATAATCGGTTGAGTTGTATCAGTTTGTGTTTTCTCATTCGAAGACTGATCGGAATCTGGGCTTTCGCAAAATTTTTTAGCGTTGTGACTCAAGGTTTTTAAGTGATGGCGTTTTAATCGTTCGTACTCGTCTCTGATATTCTTTAGAGTGACAGACGATTCACGTCGACCATGATAAAATGAAAAATCATTTTTTGCATTTGTCAAGTAAAGACCTTCCAGCTTAGTAACTCTACTAAGTGCTACATATACTAATTGAGTATTTTGTGAAGCATCGTATTGAAATACAATTTCATCAAACGTACCACCTTGAGCTTTATGAATGGTAATAGCACAGGCTGGGACGAGTGGAAGTTGAGTTCGTTTACATTTTACTGATTTATTGAGTGAAATGGTTCCTGTGCTTTCATTTAGAGGTGTCCACTCCAACTTTAGGGTGTTACTATTGGCTATGACATGTGGTCGATACTTTATGCGAGCTTTTCGACCAATAATTTCATTTTCGAATGGCAACCATACTCTAAAATGTGGTGACTAGATGGAATCGGATTCATCAGAGTTGCTTTCATCAGTTCATATTGACCAGGATTGTCAATCACTTCAATGTGGACTAATGTACCGATTACACCATTGACCAAACTATCTTCTAAGTCGATATTACTTGTGATCATGTACGGGTATCCTTTTGAAAGATTAACTACATGAGGCAGGCCGTGAGTTTCCAATGTACTCATTTTATGCAGTTGTGTTTTCGCATTTGTCAGTTCTGTGCTTGTTCGATAACCAAGAAATACGTCATGAGCTATACACGCTTTAGGTGATTTTATAATTTTAGTATTATACTGATCAACATCGATATTACGGTGGTATAAGCGGATAGCATTTGGGACGTTTTGATTACACCATTCAGCACTTCGGGAGCGACTCTCTATTACTTCGAGTTCCGGCTGTGTTAAAAGTTCTCCATTCCCAATTTTAGTTAGAATGGCTGAGAATGTGGCATCACTTTGACGCACTACTCGTGTTAATTCAAAATAATCAAGTGACTGCCAGAGTGTTGCTCCTCCAATAGACTGCCCGCACGGTACATATATTGGTCGTGCATTCACCGCAGGAAGTTGTCGTAAGTCTCCACAAAATATAATGTTCATGCCACCTAATGGTCTATCAGTCAAAGTTGTGATTTGTTGAAGTCGACAGTGAATCTTTCTTAAAATATCAGCACTGAGCATGCTGATTTCGTCGATTATAATCAATTTTACTCCAGCAAAGAGACTGCGATATCTGTGTAACTTATATAAAGAATTAAGTAAATAAAAATAGAAGAAGAAATACTGTTCAATTATAATTATGTTTAAGTACCTGCAGTAGGTACTTCAACAGTTTTTTTTTATAATATGATTGGTAATGTATATCAAACATGTAACATGCAATTAAAACATAACTACATTAAAACATGCAATACTCTCAAATGCTTAACCAAATATTAGCATACGATTATGTGCTAATAAATAGTATTTGATTAAATCATATACGAATATTGTATTCAGTTTTAAAAAGTTTTTTTTTATATTTCGCCATTTATTCATATGTCAATTTATAACGAATGAAAAAAATCGTTCGTAGTGTAAAAATTAAAGTGTAATCAAGTTATCGATTATTATATACATTACAAGTAGAACATCGTTAACAGCTTCATGTACGACATGACAGTAAAGATGTCGGCGATTTATTGTAAAATATTCATGCTTGTTCATATTGGGGCCATTTTCGACGATGTCCTTTACTTGAATTTGCACGAATTTATTCACTCAAAAATATTTTACATTTTATTGCTAACGCATATAAAGCTATATTTACGTGTTCGTAGATGGATGTGTACATATGCATACGTATGGCATAAAGCTAATTTTTTTTTATTTATTGTATTGTATATTATAATGATACCTTTTGAATAATTTTTCCAGATTTGTCAATAGGCATGTTCACTAATTTTAGAAATAGCTTTTAATTTATAAATATCCTGCACGCGTAGCGTGACAAACCCGAGAAACGCTTTGTCTACACTCATTTGTCAGTTTCTCGGGTCGAGAGTGAGATATTGTATGGGCGCACCCGAGAAAAGTGACATTTGAGCGTAGACAAAACGTTATCGAGTTCGTCATGCTACGCATGCAGATGTGCCAATAGAAAATCTTAAATCACTTAAGTGTTGTGCTACCCAATTGGTGATGGTTGGGAATATTTTTGGGGCTGCATTTAATCGGAATGGGAGATAAGTCATTTCCAAGAGCTCCTCCTTGTAAATCAATCTCAAAAATCTCCTGCAACCTGGGCTTATCCCCAGATGAAAATACGCCTGAGATAAATCCAACTTGCAAAGCTAATCTTGACTTTGAAAATCCGGTATGCGCAGTACCTTTATGAGATTGAACCGCCCCTCTGCAATGTATTCGTTGAATGTTTTCAGATTGAAAATGGGTCGTACAGACACATCGCTTTTGGGTACTAAAAATAGGGTAGACAGAAAACTCGGAGAAACCTTGGCTGGCACAAGTACTCCTTGAAAACTTCCGACATTTGACTTGATTCCTTGGTTTGAAATGAAGGTCATCTGAGATTGGAATAAGTTAGTGGCGAGGCTTCGTCTTGGTCATGAGGCACATGCATTAAAATATGCTTATTACCTATGTTCAAGATAGAATGAGCCTGCCCCTGCGAAAGGCCTCTGTGATAACATCCGCCCTGCGAGGATGGTCCTGGATTTTGGTTGTGAAAGCATGAGTACAGACTTTGTACTTGCATACCAAATATATACTACCGTGTGAGTCCTCGCATGGCTCAGGGCAGTTATTGAATCTCATACTCATAATTAAATTATCTTATTAAAAAATCATAATCAACAAAAAACGAACAGCAAGGTTGTAACTTTAAATTTCAAAATGATAAAGGCACGTACAGTTATTATACTATCGCTACTAAACGAGTTATGTTAATTCGTACGATGGGTATGTGCTTTTTGGTTCTTACAATAATAATGTCAATAATATTGGAATATTTATATATATTCCAATATTTTTCCAGTTTTTATTTATATTGGAATAGGATTGACTTCCTACTCAACCTACTCAAGAAATCAGTTTTATTAAAATATATTACTTATTTATTAAGTACCTATACTCCATTCATTATAGCATTAGACAGAAGTTAAATAAGGTTCTTTTTATGGTATACTTAGTGACAAAATATCAATAACCATGTTACTTTTAAGACTGACGGCTAATTTGCTACATATCCACTTAAATACCAACAACTATACTTAACTGTTGTCATTTAAGCTATCTTTTAAATAAATTTATTAGTATATGACTAACTTAAATGATTTAATAACTATTATAATAAAAAGTGGTCATCGTAAAGAACCTAAAGAAGCAGGGTTGGATAGTTTAGGCACGATTCTCGTGTCACTATAACTCTATCAAATTTAAAACGTTGCCTTACCCCTTGAAACGTTTCCGCAGTACAGCTTTTTAATTTTGTCAGACTATTATTTATTCTTAATTGTTAAAATCGTAATCTGGGATTGTCATCCATTGTGAATGCTACTGCCTTTCTTGTTGTTTTGCCGTTTTCCGTGATTAAGTTGTTATTGTTTTATTTTTGTTGTTAAGTTTTGGTAAATATGGACGATGCCGGTGCAGGCGTCGTCCAGTTTTTCCAATGTCTTCATCAATAGTCTAACTAATTACACTTACAATTAGAATTTATCAAAACAACAGACATATATTTTCAGTTTTAGTTCCATGTTGGCTTAGGAGTAAAAGATGAATTTATAAAATGTTGGCCTCATCTTAACCCCGAAATATCGTAAAAATGGAAAATTGCCCAGCTCTTTCAGACTACCTAACATATAATTTAAAAAACGAATGAATATATTTATAAAATTTATCTTGAAAATAAAATGTTCTGTACTGCTGCTTCTATGACCCTCTTTTTTCTAATGTTATAATGAATGGAGTATAGAGTAGCCACGCTCTCTTAAGTCTCTGCAGAGGTGTCGTTACGTTATCTGAAATATAGTTGAGCGAAGCGATGGCCGCTGGCTCATGCGCCAAGCTTCTCAACGGATGCTGCCGGTGGAGATGAGTCGGCACTGGACTACTTTATTTCGTCCATTTTCTTTTATTATGAATATTATATTTCCTTTATACAAATAAATAAAGGAATTTATTCAAAGATTAGTTCGTACTTTCGACTTTCGTTTACGTACCTAACTCGAACTAATTGAATTTCAACTTGATATTAATATGACTTATCAGATAACACTGACAATTTTATTCTCTTTAGTTTAACGTCATGAATTCATATTAAGATTCTACAATTTGCGCTGCCAACTAGTGAATTAATTTTTTGTAGTTTCTTTATTTTTTTTAAATACTTCCTCATCTTCTTTGTTAAAAAAATACTCTATAGTATCGCCATTCTTTATTAAGGGAGCGACTTTGCTCTTTGGTAGGAAGTTTCCCTAGGGCTACGCCGTTATATTATTTTTCTCTTTGGACTACGGTAGTTTCTACCTACTCTATGAACTTGACTTTACTTTTTGACCTAACCTAACTTTTCTTTTATTTGATTGTATTGTAGATTTGATTTCTTCAGAAGGATAATATTGTCTGGTGTATTTATCCACTAAGAGATGGCACATATGCTACGCAAGGTGTGTTTTAAGCCTTCAAACATCATAACCAGAAACTTTACCAAAATAGCCATAACTGATGATGGGTCTACTATAGTTGCGCTACACCTCGAGAAAGAGTTTCCTTACGCACTATCTAGACCTCTTCCTGAAGAAATTGAAGATAAATCTCTTTTAAAAATGACTGATTTAAATGAAGCTCGAAGAGTATTCAAAGATATGGTTCCTGAAATAGCGAGAAAACAATTATCCACTCTTACACTAACAACGTCCCACCGCTGGTTCCCAAGAGCCAGGGATAAGCGTGCCAAGAAAACAGAAATGAATAGACCATATTTGTAAAATTGTAATTATACCTAATTCATAGCATATTAATATCAATAAAGATATTATTTAGAACAATAACATTTATTAAAGTTGCAAGAGTTTAAAAGAAACATCTATTACATACGTAGTTTCTTAGAATTGTACAGAATCTTGAACAGGAGCTTTTCAAAAATCTCTTTATTTTTTATTTCACAAAAATGGTAATAATATATTATGCAAAATTAGTCTTTCAAGTTTAAGAACTAGGTATTATACATTACTTTTTTTTCTTAAGAAATCATTGGAGCTGCTAAGAACTAGCAAAAATTGATCAGTCACTCCAGGATTGTCTTATTTCAGGTCTGTTTAACTAAAACTCAATATAAATTATCATTTGTAGTTTAATTTGATGGTTATCAAAATCCATTACATATTCTTACTAATAAAAATTATATTTAACAAAAGTTTAAAAGTTAAAAAGGAAATAAATACATGCTACATTTATCAAGATAATTATCATAGGTAAACAATTTGACTTGTATCTGCTATTTAATATATAAACACTCGTTATAAATAAATTGGGTACCAATAAGATGTGTTGTGACTATGAATGAACAAAAAGGCATATCTTGTCTATATGTTATTTAATAATCAGTTATGTATTTCCATCAGACCAGGAATGGTTAATAGGGAGTAGTTAAACAGAAAAAGCTTTGTAGATTATCAAATGTCCTAAAAAACGTTACCCCTTACAGGAATTGAACGTCTCAGGAACTTGAAATCATAGCTTAAAAATATTGAATACATGACTTATTTCATTAGACATGTCAACCTTGAAATAAATGTAAAATAGAATTGTTATGATATTACAATTATTGTTTTTATTTCATGCACTTTTACTATCTAGCCAAACCTAAAGAACTTAAATTAGAAACAGTTTCGTTTATTTATTTTACCATTACATAATATTCCTTCTAAAATAGATCTTTAGCTATATTATTACAACCAGATTGTTCATATCATCTAAAATATATTTATATTCTCCATTCAATATCACAATGTTTGCTTCCTTTGGTGCCTATCACATTGTAAATATTGGACTTACACTCAAGACTAGTAACAGGTAATCACAATGTTCTATAAAAAAAAAATTGATGTAACCAATTTATTTCAATTACTTTTAAATCAATATCCTATCAATCAACACAATATCTAAGCCTAGTACCTATTTTTATATAATCTATATGAATATCAAAAGTAGATTTCATGATGAATTATATATGACGATGAGAGTATACTTTAAATAGATTAATAGTGACACGAATATGCAGCCAAGTGTCACAGGTGTTGGCAACCAGTCAGTACCAATGTTTAAACAATGAATGCTCAGGCTCTGTGACACTAGTGGACACGACAATGACATACATTTAAAGTTCTAATACACACCCAACCATATATAGTACTTCAAACAAGTCCATTGCTAAACTGCCATAGGTGCCAGTCTTTAAGAAAGTAAAGCTATTATACTATATCAGGGGTTGGCAACCTGAGATTCAAATTTCATATAAGAAAATTATTTTACTGTCAAACCTAGTTGAATCCACATACTAATACGATTGAGACATACTGACTATAACCTTAGAGATAGACATTTAGTAATTTATTTAAAATAATATCTGAATCATAATTAAAACAAAATTTTTCGTTGGATCAAATAGCATTTTTGCTCTTTCATCTTGTAAGGTTGCTGACCCCTGTACTATACATAACAACAAACCTGATTCTTTACAGACATATACAGAAAATACAATTCATACATCATAACTGTAAGGCTACAATATTGTACTATAGTTACGTTAATCATATATTTAAATTTTAATCTAAAAGTCGTAACATCTTATGTAATGGACATAACTTTTACAGAATAAACTCTAAATACTATATAATATTTTTCTGGTAATGTAAATATGAAGTGTATTTTTGAATAAATATAATATTTTCTTACTCAAAATTCTAATTTTAATATAAATTATGATTAATGGCACATGAGAATATGTTTTAAATAATACGATTTTTATTTACTATTTTTACAAAAATAAAATTTCCTTTCATATTTTATATTGAAATGTTTAACAATTCTATAAAAATAACATCAATGTTACAATTAAGTAAATATAAATAAATCCCTATAAAATAATATGATTTCATAAACAATCTGTCCACATAATAGACTAGGTTATATTTGGACAATCAAGAGGAAAATATTGTCCTTATGTTTTATATAACAGTAAAATTCATCAAAATCTTTGGATTGGATTCATCTTTGAGCGTTCACTTCAGTTTCGACTAATCACAAAATGGTCCGTCAGTAACGACTGGTGTGTGATCTGTCGAGACTACGCACTCTGTGCCGGTCGTATTTGAAGTCGAATGAGAGACTGAAGCGAGGCTGTAGGGGGGTGTATGGTCAGCGGATGCGACTAACGCGCAGTTCCCGGTCGAGTTGTTGCAGCTGTCGCAGGAATCCCTCGTTGGGATGAATGTCCCGACGCGAGCGGACCATCGCCAGAGCCTCAGTCAGAGACATGCCTCTCTTGATCATCAGAAATGCTAGTGCGCAAGTAGCCGACCGGGACACTCCCATCAAACAGTGGACGAGTACACGACCTGGTAAAATTATTACACGTTGCTACATTATTATTTTAGTTCATAAAGATTTTATTTAACATGGACAATAAAGACTGTTGGTGAGGATCAGCTTTATAAAAATTAAAATTGTAAGAACCAGACCTCTTTAATCACCCATAAGAAAGACTGGGCCTCTGCTGTGGGGACGTAAAAGGACTGATGATGATGAAGTGAACCAGATGCATTTGCTTGGTACACTAATAAAGCATCTCTTTACTCTCTTTACGGCTGTCCACCGCACGGAGCTTGTTCTATTGAGAACCCATTTATTTCGATGTTTTATTTTTCCTAGTTTAGCTTATTTGGCTGCTTTAGCTACAATCTATTACAACTCAGCAGGGCAATGACCTACCTAACCCCACCAAAAACTGTATAATAAAAAGAATATGAATCCTTACTTCAATAAAATAGAAATGGCAATTACAGTTGAGAATTTACATAATAAATCGAGAGCACAGCAGTAGCGCACGACCTTGCATGCTACTACATACTTTAATATTTCAGTCAAGTATTGCAATGCACCAGTAAATATTATAAAACAATGACAAAGCTACCAAATGGATTTTCATGCGGATGCCAATCGACGTGATGATAAGGATAATGACTAATTTTTGTTCGTCTGTCTGTCGGAAAGATAGTTGAAGGACACGTATTTTTTAATTTATTGCGTAATCAATACATTTCGGCGACACGTTGAGTTGAAATGTAGCATGACGTCATGCTTGTGTACGTTTTCTACATAGTTGTGACGTAGCGAACCCCCACTCCTCAACTTAAATGCCTATTATCTGACTGACGGACTAAATAGAATTTCATTTTTATTACCCAGGCTTCAACCCTATTTACGAGAAAGGTTTATTAAGCTATAGGACGATGATTCTTAAATATTTCATGTTCATAAGCGTTTTACATGGAAAATGCACTCGTAGCAGATTACTACTATACTATGAAAGACATTCTAGCATATATAAACCAAATATTAAATGTATCCGTTGCACCACGGCAGGTTACTGTAAAAGGGCAAGTATACACTTATTTATGGCTTAAAATCGATTGGAGAAGCCTTTTGTAACAAGGTGAAAACATTTATGTGTCGTGTTGTGTCTTTGTTTCTGTTGCGTATTGTTCCATATATAAGAATGAAACGGATGCGTCACCATTATTATAACGAGTCGTTATTTTTGAAGTCCCGAGATAGATTCCTATTTGGGTCATTTTAGAAAATTAACTTTCTATATTGTCTCTGGTCTGAGTGTTGTACTTCCTTCGTTGTGATGTCTATAAGGGTTAAAATTTCTAACTTGGTTCGTTTGTTTGTAAGCGGTAATCTAACCAGATACTGATCAGGTGAAAAAATTCTTTCGGGAAGCGAAGTTTAAAACAAGGTTTAACAATTCATATGATAACAGTAAAAATATTATTACCTCCACTTGAAACACCCTCATCAATGAAGTTGGCAGCGATGTGGAAGTATTTGGATATGTCGGTGGTGGGCAGGTCCATCAGCTGGAAACCCTTGTACCGGAGCCCGGGACAGTCACGGTAGTAAAGGTGACCTGTGTCCACTTGGGTGTATCGGCTACCCTCAGCTGTGTTCAGCACGTAGTTTATACCCATACGACGCAGGAAAGCTTTATCTTTGGCGGCGACGCTACGACAAAAATTATGTTTACATAGTAATACTTTATGTGCATTTTTTATCGCTTGGAATGTTTTTGTATTGAATAAATTATGTAACTACAACAACAGAGAAACAACAACCTTCGGAGAGTATTTATTGTGATCGATACATTGCCCATGGTCATCGGAAGGTAGAATAACATTATTGAGTAGAAGTTCTGTTATACATATTGTACGGTTAAAAGACAAACTATTATAAAAGATACGCGCTTCAACATGTTCTAAATTTATAATAACTATAATGTATAATATATATAACTTTAAATAAAAGATTCGCGCTTAAACATGTTCTAAATTTGTGTTTTATTCAATTGCTATCTTTACATCTTCTCAGTCGTAACACTTAGCAGAATGGTCGTGCTCAACATGCAGTATCTGCTGGAGTGGCCGATGTAGTTCTTCTCACGAAATCTGGCCATCACTCTTATCATAATATTATTATTAAACATCTACATTTTCAGCGATAAAAATCTTATTTGTTTTTAAACATACTTACTCTATTGCATAATGCATCAAAATAGCGTTGAAAAGTAATACTAATGCCACCCACAGAGGATGCCCCCGGGTTTCGGGTAAATGGAGAAATATCTTTGTTATCGCGAATCGAAGTGATTCTAATAATGGTTACAAATTTTCATATTACAAGCGCTTAGCAACTTCCGAAAACAAAATCGTAATGGTCATATGATTTTCGTTTCGCTTCATGAGTTCATGACATTATTACGAGGGGCAAAATGTATTGAGCGACATGCTAGCCAAACAGATAAACTATATTATGGTAAGTAATAACAGCTTTAGGAAAATAAAAATTAGACTAGATTGATCAAAAACAACTTTACCTTTTTAATAAAATGTTTTTTAACTTTAAGTGCAATCACGTCTCGAAAGTAACGAAAATGTCGCATAATGTAGCCCGTGCATTCTCAAAGGTAAGGTCTAAAATCAAGGGTCGGCCGATGTAAATATAACTACCTTTTTTAATAGCAGGCCCTCAGAGAATTTACTATATATTCTAGATTTATTTCATAATTATTTAACAGATATGCCACAAACATTTTGAAACAAAATCCAGCATTCCGGCGTGCCTACCATATCTACATTATGTCATACTAAATGTATAAATAGAAGTACTCACTGAAAACAAAACAAAGCAAATGTGGAACATCAATGTAGGCGTGAGTAAAGACAAATGTATGTATATACGAAGATACTTACGCATCACCAACGTACAATCCAGGGTAGACCTCGTTCAAGTCGGGCGTGGGACTGTAACTTATGTCGGCGAACGGCCGCGACCGGAACGAAGACAGAGAACTCAGCACCGACGACGGTGACGAACCAAAACTCTGCGCACGAGATTCACACGTCAAACAACTACACAATGTCTGACCCATCTCTGAGTAACAAAACTCCTTTGAAAAGACAGACACCGATAACTTTCTCGATCCTTATGACATTATAAAACACATATTTAAACACAAACACGTGATTAGTACTCAAACAGAATGCTAATGTTAGTACTATGATAACACTTTAGATATGTATAATAACAAAAATTCAATGATCTGAAATGTCAAATACTTAGCTGTTGTACATGGGAGGGTTTGCTATTGTGTTTTTATGGTGACCATATGCAAATGCAAATTTTATCGTGTTTAATAAAACAACATTTAAATTCTTTGAAATTATGTTACTAAGAAATCTTTTGGTTACATTATTTCAATTACAATCAGTGGTTGGTTACCATTGGTGTAATACACTTGATGAGTAGTGTGTGTGCAAAACATCTGAGTGGTAATATCATTCCTAGGAATTTAACCATTGTTAGCTTGGATATAGAACTCATCTTTTAAAAATTTATGAACATCAAAGAATTTAATACCGTAATAATATTATTATATCGGAGGGAATGAGTTCATTGCTAGCCTAGGTAAAAATATAATAAATAATGTTAGTGGTGGTTTTACCATTATAGTGCAGTCAAATATATCCCTCATGATAAATACCATTAAAGTCCTTAGGTAGGATCCTACACGCTGCTCATTAGCTGCACAGTATGAATGAGATCTTGGAAATATTGAGTACTGTAGATAACAAACACTGATTATACAGATATTTCGTAATATTTATATCAATACATTATTTTAATTGTTTTTAAGGGGTAAAATTTTTGTGGCTATGTAAAGTAATTGCCAACTGCAACATCCCATATTTTGTGGTTACCATATATATGTTCTTTTACATTCCATTCTTATTTACAATTGTGAAAAAAATTAAAGTCTCTACTTATTATTTTTGGGTAGACAAAGAATATTAGTGTACACATCACTAAGTGTACTAATATTTTAATAAAAAAAAAAATATTATATATTCAAAAATTATTACAGTTCTTTTAATAGTGTAAATAGATTTACAAACTTTTGCAGTAAAATATATGTATATAAATTTAGTTCGTCACACAAATACTATTAAAATTAAATTAGATACATATTTTTTCTGCTTCAATTTATAGAGAAATGGCTTAGATGATAGGCACTAAAGTTTAGGAGTGTGGGCTCACTCTATCACAGTTTTATAGAAAATGTATAAAAGCATGATGACATGCGAAATTTATATAGCAAATTTCACAAAAGCTTTAAAGATTTGTCATACAGGATATGTAAAGGGTCAAAATATTGTAGACATTGATCACTAACAGCGACTTAGGCTGAAGTCCATATTAGTAATCAATGTCTGGTCTACACATATCACTGTTCACAAATTACATCCAGTGTGACAAATACATTAACCACAGCCATAGACATACTGTTAAATAAGCAATGAAAAAGAGCCATATGATTGATTCCTTAAAATTTATTGTTTATTTTCTTAAACTTATTTTTAAAAAGTAAAAATATGACATGAATAATTTTAACAGTAAATATTTTCTCTAAATGTCAGTGAATAATCTGAAATGTATTAATTTTAATTAGGTATTAAGTAATATAAAAAAAACTACCAGTAAAATCTTAAACTCTTAGTTTTATTTCATTTTTTTAAGCTATTAATGAGTACTACATAACCAATGTGTAGGAGGATATGGCCTTGAAGCTATATGACGTAAATAGAAATGGAAATTGGTCGATGCTATTTTTAAATGTATGATATTACATAATTAAATGTTTACAAACGATAAATTCAAGAAATCGTTCTTTTCTGAAATATTTTAGTTATAGCTTAAATTTAATTTAAAGAGGTCAATATTAAACTTACAGAATCTCTGTAGCTCATTGTGCTACTGTGGGTCACTTGACTATAAGCTCAAATATTAACAGTAATTGGATATTCGACTAATTTACAATTTATTACGGAAAGAAAACAACAAACAACGTACACCGCTCAAAATTCATTAACTACGCGCCACCATAACAGATATAAATAAAATGACTAATCCAAAGAGAGTAAAGTAGAAAACCATAAATAATGAGCGAGTCGCGACCATGGACTTAGTAAGTACTTATAACAGGACAGAGTACTCCCAGCTGAAACGCGATATTAAGTAAAGAGGCTATTTATCTCATTCTAATAGGGCGACAATAACAGATTAATTAAGTGAGACTTTTCAGAATATGGTTTAGTTTTTTGACTACCGCGACTATTATTGTTCAGTATTTCTTAATATGTGGGTAAACTACAAATCCGCAACCCAACAGTGACATTATAATTTAACACTTGAATTTTTAAGTACTATCGATAGTTTCTCACTATGTAAGGATTTTTAATAAAAGTAATTCTAAAACAATATGTAATTTCAATTAAACATAGTAATAATAATTACCATTAAATAAATTAGGTTTATTTTAAAGTTGTATCTTGGACTTATTTTTAATCTCAGCCGTATCTTTTTTGCATATATAGTGCAATCTTACGTCAACAAAACTGGGTAAGTTTTAAGTCGTGATTTCAATTTTATTTTTCTTAGTAAAATATATCACTAGATTGCAATTATAAAATATTTAATTTATTGTTTCTTTATTGGCCTTGACGACCATAAACTACCACCGGTACAAAATTTGGGAGTCTTTTCTTAAAAGGACTGGCGAAACAAACTCCTTAAAATTAAATCTTAAAATAAAGTCGGGATTTAAATTGCGAGACTGTTATTATTATACCATAATTTGCTCTTGTTTTGATAGCTGTAAAATACGATATAAAATAAGTAAAATATAAGTTACATTTTTAGGCATATCACATTACTAGACGTGTTAGTGATTTTTGAGTTCAAAATTGGACATGATTCTTTGAAAAATAATTTTTATATTATTCTCTATTACACAATAAATACGTTATATCGATACTTCGAGGAAATTTGCTGTATTAATCAAAAAATAAAAAAAAGACAGTTTAAATTTTCTAAATCACGCTAAAACAGGCTGTGTCTGTCATAAACTCCCATTAAGTCCCGTCACACGTTAGTAAATACACAAACCTCATCAAACCTTTTTCGTCAAGGATTTTTCGTCTCAGATAAAAATGTCAAAAAAATATTTGATTTTATTTTTTTGTTATCTGCAAAGATTATTTCGTTTAAAATAAAGTGAAATATGTATTAACCTTAGCTCATGATTGAGCTGGAATGTATGAAAAGTGGACGTTTCTCAAATACTTGTTAGTTGTTTTTAGATAGACATTAATTTCGTTTTTTAGTTAAACTGGGAATAATGGTATACTTTATGATAATTTGACACATCAAGTTTAATGAAAGTTTAAAGTTAAATCAAAATAGTATAATCATTCAATTAATCATTTTAAAAATATCGATTGTTAAGATTTGATATACGGTAGTCAATTTTATCGAACATCCCTAATGTCATCATATGTCAAAGTAATGGCGTACTCTATTTATTCCTTTATTTTCTTTTTAGAAAGATTGTGAAGTGAAATTAAATGTTTAGTTATTTGACAGAAATAATATAATGATCTATAGTAATTGGTGAGACAATAAATATAAGTCGAAATGGATGAGAAAGAGGAGTTGCATCTAACCTCTCAAGAGTTGCAAGTACTATCAGAACTTGACAGGTAAGTTTTATGGGATGAATTGGGTTTTTCACGTAAAACTGAATATAATATTACAACGAATTTCATAGAGTTAATAACAATTGCGTATATTTTATTTGCGTAGTCCGTTTCCTTCATCTTTCGTTATTTTCCTCAGTTAAAAAATCTATTTGCCCTTACATTTGTTACAGTCGCGCCAAAGAAAACAAACTACAATATTCAAAATAAAAAAGTTTGTTATATACACAGTAGGATAATCCCTAAAAGAATTTGATTTTTCAGATATACCAGTAACCAATTTTGTAGATAAATTCTTTATTATTAAAATTCCAGCCGTCAATTTGGCTTTTTGAAACTTCGTGGCAGTGAACATGGACGAACTCGTGCACTCGTGCTGAAGGCAGTCAAGTACCTAGAAGGCATGCTAGTTCAAGTTAAGGTATCTGAAAGTTATAGTATTTATTGTTATCAAAAGTTATAAACTGTTATTTAGGGTTGGTTTAATATTCCTATTTATATTTGATGCTTGAGGCTTGTTAACTATCCAATTACATAATTGAAAATATTATTTCAAAAAAGTGGGTAGTTCAAATATTAATTTCTTGAAAACAGTTTTCCTCTTCATAATTTTATTTTAAAAATTACAATACTGTTTATCTATAGTAGTTTCATATGTGCAAGTGTTCATTGCGAAGAACTCTAAATTGTTATCTGAGGCTTATTCACTATATCATCTACTTACAATGGCTTTAAAGAAATGTATTACTTGTGAAAAGGACATTACAAATAAATTACCTGGTTTAGAATGTAGCAGGTGTGAAAAGATAGTCCATGTTGACTCTACATGCACTCATTTATCTAACAAGTAGTTAAATACATTATGTAACACCAATGGGCTGGAACGGAGTTGAAGCGACTGCTCCAATTCTGGAGGAGGATATTGAAGATGATGAATCATACTCCAGTTTACTGGTAGCTGATAATGAAATAAATACTGTGAAATTAGTGCAAGACATAAATCAAGAAATTAAGAAAACATTCCGAAAAGAACTTGAAAGTTTACGGGTATCTTTGGAATTCTTAGGTGATTAAATCAACGATATGGAAAAGTCTATGATGAATCAAGATAGTAAGATTAAGAAACTAGAAAATAAAAACTGACCTACAATGTAAGGATAAAACTCTAGACTTTCAAGTATACTGAGAATTCCTTCGAGATTGTTGGCTTGCTGGAGGGAGCTTCAAACAACATTTACAAAGCTATAGAAATAATGGCTTCAAAGTTGAAATTTGATGAACTGGATGTCCAATATTCCCATCTGTTATTGGGAAAAAAGGAAAATCCTGGCCGAATACTGGTGAAATGTAATCAAAAATAGATTCTAGGCAATGGATAGATGCTTCTAAGAAATGGCAGTAACACCCAATTTCTTAGCAGCATCTATACTTCAAAGTTTTAGTGCCAAATGATGTCGCTGATAGACCAATATTGGTATGAAATACACAAATACCTTCCTGTATTATGTTAAACAACAATTGAGTAATAGTCAGTTGCACAAATATCCATTAAAATTGACATTATTTTAAAGCAACATCACCCATACAAATTTGTCAATCATTGAAGCCTAAAGGCGTCATTAAACCTTAATGGATGTTTGTGCAACTGACCGTAAGAGATTTCAATTTGTATGGTGCAAAAAAGGCAATGTGTGTACAAGAAAGACACATGACACTATTTATTATATAAGAAGTTGAGTGTACATTAAGCATATTGAATAACGTGTTTATATATAAATGTTAGTAATATGTGAATTGTTGTGACCATTTATTTATTTCTTCATAAGAAAATACATTATACTAACTGTGGATGATCATTCTCAAAGTATAGAAATTCATAATTGTTCCACACCTAATTCTTTTATAAATAGTCTACCTTCTCAAAGCCAGTTAAATTTAAGAACTTTAACAAACTACTTGAAATAATTCACAATAGGGAATATGCACATTTTTGGAATATGTTTTTATATGATAATTTACATTGATATATAACTGTAAAAAAATACCCGGCACCAAAAAACTAAAATTATGTAACATTAATCATTGATGAAAATAAGTAATAGCTACGAGCAGTTAACACCGGAATTTAAGGCGCTCTCGTCCTCACGTCAAAGTACACGACTAGAGATTTAACATTTTAAATCAATATGGATTTTGAGTGACTGATTATTTATTCAATTACCCAAATCGATTAACAACTAATCGTTTTTTTTAAGTATAATAGACTTTTTTAATAAATCATATAATTTGCCAAATTGGTGAAATAAAAATAAAAGGCTAAAACATCATTTAAATTGTAATCAGTTGTTTATTTTGCGACTTAATACATTGATGTTATTGCATCGACGTTAACTTTTTAACAACGACATCCCTATACGTGTACATTTTCGTCACATCCGCTCTGACAAGTAGCATGGCGTTTAAATATTTTGAAGTTACCGCATTTATTTTGCACTTTTTAATAATTATTTTCAAGACGAAAACGAACTAATGTTGAAAAATATTTAGATAGACTTTATTCTAAAGCAATAACGATTGTAATAAAATATATTTAACCCTTTTTTGAATCGGACGCATATTCCCTATTATAGTTTTCCTATAGACTTAATAATGATTATGGAGGTGGGTATCTCCGACAGTATAATTAATTTATATAATACTAGTTTTCCGCCAGCGGCTTCGCCTGCGTTGTCCCTGGGGAATTATTTAGTGGGATAAAAAGTATTCTATTATCTAAGTCAGCTAATACCCCATTTGTATACCAAATTTCATCAAAATCCGTTCAGTAGTTTCGGCATTATTGACGGACAAATATCCAAACAAAGAAAACTTAACATTTATAATATTAATAGGATACCTGGATACAATTTATATTCGTGGTTACGTCATAGAAAAAAAGAATCCCTTTAAATAGGGTATTTGACTCTTTTTTGAATACTTATTTAAATGGTTGTTTGATACATTATAAAGAAACTGTCATGTCAATATATTTTTGAGAATCTGTTCTATTTTCGACGAAAATAATTGTTAAATTGTTAAAGTGTTAAAAAAACGAGTTAAATATATATAGATTAAAAAACAATACTGCAATTGCTTATAGTATAAGATAATTAAAATATAAACGTATAAGAAATAAGGTTCATAAAATATAAAAGAATAAATGAGTACTTGAAACAAAAACAAAGACATACTTCTAACACTAAAAAATTGTTGGTTCACGTGATATTGTCTATCGATTCTGCCATCACTAAAGCCTTGGAGGCTCAAGCTCTGTCATCTAGTTGTATTGCTGATAGATTTGCAGAAAGTTTTCACAAACTTGTTCAATATATTATTTCAAAATGTAATACGAAAGTACTCAATTCTAGCCCCTGTTGCAAACCTGGCTATTATATTATATACTGGTATTAGTATATTGTTTAGAAAAGCATCTCAGTAGTCTGTTTATAATATTATCAAAGATTTAAATCATAGGAAATCCCCTGGCATAGACCAAATAAGGGTATCCGACGTGAAAAAGATGTTTCAATTTCTTATTTGAATGACTATAGTTTTGAAACGGGCACAAAAAAGGCAAACGTAACGTTTTTTCTAACTATAGACCAATTACACTGCCTTCAACTACAGCTTGAAAAAATAATAGAAAAATATATTGCTAATCATATCCAAGCCTCTTACCGCGAATATAACGTCATCTACACCAATCATTTCTGTTTCGAGCATGGGAAAGGTACCAACACGTCTTTTGGCGAAATTTATTTTGTTACTTTAAATTTTTTAATGATGTCAACAAACAACTTAATGTAAAAAGTCATGTATTAGTTTTATTCATAGATTTTCCTCGTCCTTCAGATACGCATATTGGTATAATAGTATACCAGTAGAAGCTCCTTATTGGCGGGCTATACATTCTTTAAATATGCTGCGAATACAGAAAACGCGAAAACAGGATGGCATTTAGTATAGAATTACAGGGATACTTTCCAAGGTTCCAGAATAAAAGCAATATGTATGTTTTTTAAATAAATACAATTAACGTAAGATTATTGATGAACTGCCAATGAGGAAGTATTTACAAAAAGCATTAGTTCCCGAATTCAAACTAGATGTCGCTACGGTACTTTCTTGATTTCTCCATGACAAACCTTCCGGTTTTTCTTTCATGTATAAGTAAATTAGTTTTCAAAACTCAATAAACAACTCGTATTCTATTTGTACCTTTTTGTATTTGTATTGATATTTATGTTTCGAACTTTTCAAATTTCAGTTTTTTAATGTTATGTAAAAGGAACGGAAATTATTATCTAAAAATCAAGTTTTGCTAGAGTCGCCACCTAGTCGAGGTGCTTTTTAGTGATTTAAATGCTGCCTCATTACAATCAATCGTTATCTCTTCCATTCAATTTCACGTCGGATATTCTTATTAGGTCTATGCCAAGGGAAAGTTATTAATATCGTGGTAACCCATATTGTGAAAATACCTACCGTTTGTTCACTACCATTTAAGTAAACTTGAAAATAGAATTAATTATCAACTTTAATATTTGTATAATATGAAACTTAAAAAGTTTTTTTTTCTTCATAATTATTTTCTATGCTTTAGTATTGTTCTATTAACAATACCAATACAAGAAATATGTTATCATATTAATATAAATAATATGATCACATTATTTTCACATATTACAGTTTTTCAGCTAATCAAAATAAAATGGCTGCCAAAAAGTGGAACACTAGCATGTTGCTGATCTCTGATGTATCCATTTACTTCCTATCTATATCAATATCAACATTTAAAATTAAAACGACATTTAATAAAAGATATTAAAAAGAGGGCTGTTATTAATACTTTTCTGTTTTTCGGAAGGAGGAGGAGCGAGCATGTTCACCTGGAGCTAGAAGAGATATCTGTATTGATCCAAAAACATATTGTAAATTGGGGCACTTCCATCTCCTGTTGGAAGATTATGCTAAAGGTAAAGTTGGTGTGCAATAACACCTATCATTTTGTATAAGTCCCGTAAATTGGAAATGCGCTGGAACCTTATCTAAATAATACCCGTGTGACGTCAATTAAAAACAGAAAATATAGATAGCACAAAATGCAAGTGATAAAATATTTAAAAATTATTGAAATATATATAAATAATCCCCAATAAATTGTAAAAATAATTTAATAACTCTTAGTTTGTTAATTTATTTATTTCATTTTTGGAAAAGCTGAATTATATTAATATTGAGGTATATGGAAAATAAAAAAAGATGACATTTATTTTGTAATAATCCGAAAACAAACGGAAATGACATTTTTTAAAACAAAGCAAGAGTAATAATGAAATGATAGACATAAGATTTTTTAGTGAAATACGTCACCAAAATGGCGCCCTGGGGCATTAGCAATTTGCCGACATTATACGTTACTTTATATTTGGTACGATAGTATTAACATACCTTCTTTTTTTAGCAATGTCGGCATACCAGAAATTCTATGCGTTGGAGCAAGATAACTGGAAAGACCCACTTTTCTTATATGGTTTGGGCCTCTGTTACTACCACTACAATGCTTTTGAATGGTGAGTATTTTTATTATTTATCCATGCTTACTAACATGTATAGCATAATTTATACCTTTAAAGAAATGGGGTTATAACAAAGCTCATAACAGACGGTTAAGATGCATGCATTCCATCTTAAGATATCTTAAAAAACATATTTTTAACATCGTAAGCTATCATAGATGGTTAAGATTACGATATTATAAATGTTATAATGTGTCATATTTTAAGATACTATCTTAACCTACGAATTATATAAATATATTTTATATGAAATATTACATTATCTTAATGTATAGAGAACGATATTTTATCTTAAGATATATTATAGCATCTTAACCTTCTGTTACGACATTTAAACTTACGTGTTATATTACACACACAAACATACACCTGGTTTAGATCTGTGGTATAATAAAAAATAAATTCACACAAGGCTACGAGCCAGGCACAAATGATTTATTTAACATTGATTTACAATAGAAAAGAAAGAAAGAAAGTTGTTATTGTTTTTATATAGCTAAAGCTGAACAATGTTGTGCATATTTCGTAAAGATTTCAATAGATGACGCTGGCAGTACATTGCCTCGCGGAATTGTTTGTTGACAATTAATGTCGATGATTGGATTTTTATCTTTTATATATACCTACTATATCATCGTATTGTACGATAGTAGTATGTATACCCACAGCAGATTTACCAATACCGAAGATGACCGAACGTGCTATTTAAATTTATAGCGAGTCTTGTTTCAATTACCATAAAGTGTAAACTACAATTCATTAGGATTTTTTTTTCTGTCTCACTGACACCCAGTGGGGGTCAGGGACACTGATATTGGTGGATCGCCCGATGGCGCGATATTTGAATTGTTCTGATTGGCCTACATAGGTATGCCGCGCTTCGAAATTAAGTTTTCTGTGGAGGTATATTAATGAGCCACATCAGTTGTATATTACTGTACTGCAAGTGAAGAATAATATTTTAATTTACAATAATATATTTTAAAAAAGGAGTATTTGTTTGACTTGTCTACTTATATGTTGGTTCAGGATTATCTCGCGTATTACCTATTTTGAAGAGGAAGATGAAAGTTTTGTTATAACAGATTTCAAAAATGAGATTTATGTTTTGACTATATAAGTTTATACAATTAAGACTAATAATAATTATTTTTTTTAAATTGAACCAACTTCAACGTTATGATATAGAGAAATAATAAGTGTCTTAAAAGCTGTTTAATAATTATTCAAGAAACTTCTATTGAAGTCGGGCGGTTATCATTTAAGAACCTTCACAAAAGTTATTTAAAATATTTTTTTTTCTTATATTTATATATATTTTTTGAAAATAATGTTCGGAGGACTCGTTCAATTCCGCAAGTATAAATGTGAAAATCAAAATCGGTCGTGCCCTTTTTACTTTATTGCTTACTTGATACTGTTTCGTAGCTAGTAAAAATATAATTAATAATTACGTGTCGTGATATTAGATTTGACAGTTAGCCAATTGGCTGGGCTTGGTATAGTCGTTCTGTAGTACAGTTGGACGGCGCCATGACTGGCCAACCAATTGATTGTCTATTTTGACAATTTGCCTGCAATATATGAATTTTTATGAAACAGCTGATTTTTTTCGTGAATTCCCATAGTAAAAGATAGTATTCTTAAGTCATCCATTTCACGAAATCCTGGTATATAATATAATAAGAATAGGATAGGACCCAAGACACGACCTTGTGGTACTCCATGGAGTATTTGTCTGTATTTAGTGACATTCGTCCTCGTTCTGACTGTGTCCTTGTGATATCGCACATTGCTGTTGATTTGACAAATATGATGCTATTCATTACAACGGTACCTCTGATGCCCATCAGGCCCCGATTTACAGTTTTTACGAAAATCGAAAAATCTTTTGTTATATTGAAAAATAACACCTGTTGTCATATTATTAACATTTATACATATTATTTAAAATTATGACTATAATTATGTATCTTGAAAGTGTCGTTGATTTTTATTTTGAAATGTTTTAAATCCATATTTTTCGTTGTTCATAATGTCATATTCTGTACAATACTGTTCAGTTATTAATGTTTTCTTTGCTCCCGCTTTTACATAATGGTTTTATAACTCTGATCTGATGTAACTTAATAATGACAAAATTAATCCTTCATATTCACTTTTATAATTTTCTTATGAATCTTAACAAAACCTTCTGATTTAGCATTAATTTGATTCATTGGCCAAACTTTATAGCCATATCTTTATAATTTTAATTGACAGAATAGGAAAAATTTTGCGTATTGTTTATAGTTTTTGAGATATTTTGGAGAAAAGCCATTATTTCCAAAGTTACAAAGGTGCTCCTTTTAACTCAATTCTTTTTAACATCTTTATTCAAATGATTTACATCTGCACGATTAAAAGTGATTTTCATAATTTGAATAAGTCGTCTGATCTTTATAAGTAAGTAGGTAATCGCAATCAAGATCTCTGTTATTATATCCAAACGGTCTGTTAACTTTGACATTACTGTTAATTCAGCCAAGTATCACGTTATTTTAATTGGTAGTCCTCACGTTTTGATTTTACTGTGATAGCCTCTAACGGTGTCGTTATACCATATCCGTCTCAGTTAAAAATTTGTAAGTTTTAGTGAGCAATAATTTCTCGTAGAGTGATCATATCTATTTCGTTTTGTTTAAGATATCTAATGCATTTAAATTTTAAAACTAGATTTTACTTACCAACTTGTATAGTGATCAAAGGCTAATTGCTTTTGGTCCTCTCTTTTCATTAATAAATGTTAATGATGCAGACGTATGTTATTGCGATATTAATGAAAATCCTAATTATTTGGATCGCCGCTGTTTTGATTACTATATTCGCTTTATTTATGTGTTACGTGTTTATGGTCATATCTCACATTACCGCTAGTGACTCAATTCGTTTCATATTTGTGAGCGAAATAGAGGTTTGAACGCTTTTCAACCTTCTTTTTAGTATATCTGAAGTGTCTGGACCTTTTACCGTCTTCGGGCAATCTCTCTTTACTTATCTCTGTTCACTCTACTGGTTTTCTCATATTCTATTAATAAATAAATAGTCTCGATATACGAAATTGTGCAATAACTTTTCCAACCCCACAGAATGATTTTTTTTAGATCGATGAAATTAAATGTTTCATTTCATCAAAAAGTTGAATGACAATTGTCAAGATGCTAACTCCTAAGATAAAGGACCTTGAAATTCCCCACAAACCCTTGTTAGTGTTTGACCCCTGTGCATTCACATTCACAGACCCATTAGTTGGGGGAATGTATGTAAGTAATTTAACGATTGTCAGCTAGTAAACTTCATTTTGTCTATAAAAGAATACCTATAGTATTATTAGGGTTATACTATTTTCCATCTATATAACAATTTTCTTTAGTTACCATCTTATTAGATCAATTGTCTCAGTTTTGTTTGGATTTCTTATTGCACGACTGAAGGAAATTACCGTATAGCACTAAGTCCCTCCTGTTATATTTATTGCAATAAATAGACACTGGAGAATATAGGTATCGTCTAGAATATTATGTAAATTAGATTGCCAATGAGTATTTCGTTCCGTGTTTCGTCACTCATCAGCCGGACATTTCGGTATTGTAGGTGTACTCATAATAATTTTGGTTCGGGCCGAGAGCGTTTCGAGGGCCGTTTGTAGTCGCGTTTCATGTCGACATTCGTTTCGTTGATTCACCGGACGGACGTAGGACGAGCGCGGGGCGGGGAGCGGGTCGGTAGGGCCGCAGGGCGCGGCGGCGAGGGAGCGCGGGGCGCGGGACGATGCACGCTGCAGCGCGAGGTCGTCGCTCGCACGCTCGCGCCGCGCCAGTCGGGAGCGGGATGCGGTGACGTAAACTGCATCGGCGTGAGCCGCGAACGTAGTGTAGGACGGGACGTGTCGTTTTCGTGTGTGCCGTGTGCGTGCGTGCTCTGAACCACCCTGTGTGAACCAAGTGCTTGTAGTGCTGATATTTCTCGACAACGTCTCCGCTCTCCACTACGTGGGCCGCTGCTGCCACTTTTCTCAACGACAACGGGTCGGAGGATCCCCGAAATGGTGAGTGCGGTCGTAGCTCCCACTCGCGGTTTGTTTACGTCGGCCCTCAGGCCGCATCTCTTTCTCTCAACCTGCCGCCCGTATCCCTACATCGCGTTCGCACGCGACTTATTCTATTGTGTTTTGTTTCCAAAATGCAGACACCTATGTCGACGACTCCGAGCTTCGCCTCTGATCCCGACGAGTGTTTGTTCATGTGTGCATCATGTTTTGTAATTTTTTTGTAGTATTTTTGCAGGTAGTCAGTCACAAGTGGACGACCCCATTCATCGCAATCGCAAACTCGAAAGGAAATCTTAGATCGTTTCGGGGGTTGTGGGAATAAGAGGGCGACTGCGTGCACGGTCACAACTAGTAAATAATGAGTTAGTCGCCGCATAAAATGTAGGTCGGTGTGTAGTGAGCTCGCAATAAAGGCACCGCACGCGATGTGATTCTACGTGCATATGCTACAATTATTCATGATCATTGCAATGTCGGTTTATTGTAGAAAAACCGTAAGACGAAAATATTCACACGATTTGTATCGAGATTGTTGTTCGAAAATAATAATTCTAAATTTTAATATATGATAATAGTTTGTAAAAGAAAACTTCATTCAAAGTAGTACTTTAAAAAAAGAAAGCTACCTTTGTACAAAAGGCCTGATTGACAGCTCGTTGGCCCTTTGTATTAGAAAGTCACGTCACGCAAATCTGTAGATCCCCGTTAGCATCGCGCTTAGATAAAAATTACGTCCGATGAGTAAGTTAGTTAGTCACTATAGCAATGTTACGTATGACCGAGTACAGGAAAATGAATGAGTCATGTGAGTACGTTTTCGCGCACTTTTATCTCGTGTGTCTATTAGCAGCCTGACAACGACGATACACTCAACACCAATTAATAGATAATATTTTAAAAAAATGGCTTTAATTTATCTAGGTAGGTAATTAGTTATTTATACCTACTAATGAACTTAATTGCTACAGTGAAATTCTTAGTTTAGTTGGACTTATTATATTTTTGTTAATGAGACATGCGATATAAATTACTATTTGTAATTGCAGATTCGTTTGTGCATTTCAGAACCAAAATAATATAAAATTAATTGCCATGCATATTAAAAATTTGCTTATTTCTTTCAAACCAAAATACCACAGAAAATTAATAACAAAATTATTAAACGGACAGATGCACCAAGTTCATCGCACCGAGGATCGCCTAAGAAAAAGATAAAGGAATACGAGCCCGAATGAACTGTGTACATTATCCTCATGCAATCATATAAGTCTCACTGCACTGATAACAAAACCTATAGTTCCCTATTGTGGTAATGCTCAAGGTGAAAAATCAATTCCCATTTCCGTGCAGTGTTACTCCCAAGATGTTGGGCTTTACATTTTTATATTCTGTTGTGACCCAATTTTTGACACTGAAATATGGAACAGTTGATGAAATTATGTCCTCGATATTTGTCCACGGTACCTTAGAATTTGGTTACGGATACAATTAAACATCTTTTGATAGTAACATAACACACAAGAAAAAATATACGTAGCTATTTTATTTCCGCCGAAAGATGTCATCGTCCCTGTTTTGTTTGGAAAGGTCAAGTTCTGTTTTTTTCGATTTCGATATAACAAGCAAAGATGATCCTTCGATCAGAATTACATTTTAATATGCCAATTCCTTTGAATAACCTTGTTTCATTTTATTAAATGAAATAAAGTAATTTTGACCCGAAAGTATAAATAATTTGAATTCAAATGTAGAACTTGACACTTCTAGCTGTTTGGGGATTACCTCACTTGACTATCTGAATTATCACTTATCAGTGTATCATTAAGTGCGGATATCATCAATACATATTTGCTATAGAACCGACCGGTCTATGCAGTACCTACGCAATAGTAAGTCAATAACGGTATTCTCTATAACCCTTCAACAAATACACTCGCTTGGCGCGTTTTCAAAACTTGTTAGTATGCTAGTCTAAGCCCCTCATGTTACAAGCCGGAAATCGTCTTCCCAAAACTACTAAATAATTCCGATTCAACTTTATCACGTCATCGTGTAATATAATAAAGATCCGTTCACTCACTGTTTTCCCAATGTTTGTTTATAGACGACAAAATACATTCAAATCATTACCCATTTGTCTCGTTTCCAATATATAATTAATATTATTCATATATTCTTATTCTCATAACCATTAAAATCCAATGGCGAATTCGTGGTAGTATCAAAACGAATGTATTGTTTCCCGGCATCTGTTTACTATTCGACATTGTGTATTTTCCAACAATAACGTGATGCCTTTTTGGTGGTTGAGTAACAAAGTAATGTCTTGCATTTTAATTGACTGAATAGATGGGATCTATTTTAATTTTATATTAGATATTGAAATTGTCATTTAGCAACTCTGTAGCAGTTGTATAGTTTAATATAGTGCATATATATAATGTTAGGTCATTGGATATTGATTACGTTTTATGTAGTAGGTAATGGTGTAAATAATAGTTAGTTGGTGGCAGCTTGCGGTGGCGCGTGCTGTAGGCAGGTGTTCGCCGGCTGTCGTCACACCTGTCTTCCCATCAGCTGCTCCTTAGCTAGCTTCCTTTGTTCACTTTATAAGGATATCATCTAAATATCAACTGGCTCTATTAGCATTACCCATTAACAGCTTTGATGTCATGCATACACGTCTGTTCTTCATTTCAGTTTATATTATTTAAACTTGGTTTGATATTGCTTCTGAATATTTCAAACTTATTTGCGTTTTAACAACTCTATATCATGTTAATTGTTAAAGCAAACATTTGTAGTGATTATTTCTTAAAGGAAAAGAACTGTTTTCTTACTAAACAATGTTATGATAATATTAAAATTGTTATAATCCTTTTATCCATGGTGGTGACCTATAGCAAGCCTTCAGGTCTATTGTAATTATTTAATAATATTTAGACGTTTTACTATATCGTCTCCTTTTCAAGGTCTACTGATTGTGTTTACATGGCAAATATATTTTTGTCTTGGCAAACAATTGACTCGTACTACCTGGGCAACAGAAACCTATTGATAATGAACACTTAATTGCTAACGGTGACAGTATTATTGGGTTGTCTTTCTGTGTCATGTCATATTTATGGTCTTATGTCATTAACCCTCAAGTTTTAAAGTAATGGTTATAGATCATCGTTTTATCAGTTCACATATCTTTAGACTGCTTGATGAGATAACTTAAGTCGTGCATCCGATTAATCTCCACGTATTTTGCTTGTTTCATTGTAAGTAAATAAACTGCGAAGCGTGTAGAAAGCGATAAAATTTCCCGACGCGCTGCGTGTTCGCCCGCGAAGTAATTGCATTCGTTAATTTCACCATTGCCGGTGAACTTATCCGGTGCTCGTTTAGTCTCTTGCTTATCATAGATTTCTAAATTGTTGGTGTAGTTTATTATTTACAATGGTAATAAATGAACGTCAGTACAATAGGATGCAATCCAGATGATTCCGCTATAAAACTTCATTTCAGCAAGTTTTATGGCGACCGGTTATCGTACTTGAATGACACGTGCTGCTTTTTATATTAAGATGCATTGCTCGTAAAGAGAAGTACTTTGTGACTAATTACCAACTTGATGGATGTTGTTTAAATGCTATATCAGAATATAAACAAAAATATCGAGATTTTAAAAATAAGTCTAATATAGCTAATCCTTTTACATAATTATGTTGATTATTTGGCTACGTTTCTTTTATACTTATTGTATATACTATAGGTATTTAAGAAGATAACTTTTATAGAAAAGATTAAAACTGACATTCCCAGTTAACAGTACTGTGCTCCACATTTTTTAATCCAATTGTTTTTGATTAATAAAAAATAACTTGTATGAAGTTTATTTTTAGGATACGCCTGACGTCACAATAGGCTCGTGATTTTATAACACGCAAACCAGCTAAGCTATGCGGCCAACGTCGCATAGCAACACAGAATAGCGGAGCATAATATAACCGGAATCCGACATTGCTTCACCTTCCTAGAGCGGCATAATGCGAAGTTATATGGCTACCTACGAGTAACGGTACTCGCGTTTAATCTCGTCGATGTAAAATAAGTTAACGACAGGACGAGCGGGTAGCGTAGTGAGCACAGTCTAGGAAACGGTCCCCGACCCTATTTGGTGCATCTACTAAGCAGGCAGGGCTGCGGAAGATATGCGGGCGGGGCATCCTTCCCCGTCCCGCACTGCTGCGTCACGCACGCACTGGCCCTTTCACGCACAGCCCGCGTCGCCCGACGGCGAATCCGAGACACACCGACTTGCTAGTATTGAGTTGCCGACTAAGGGCGTATGCATTATTAGCTCCACTTTCCCCCGCTCGCACTGTTCCCGTCCCTATTTTCACCCTCTGTCCTTTTCACGATAGCTGTGCGTATACTGGATTGATTGTAAACACAATCGTCGGTCGGGGTAGCTTTTTGATATTATAAACACTCGTTTTGGGCGTGGGAAGGAACACGGTCTACTAACGTAATATTTTTCTTATGAAAATGTAGGTCATGGCTTTGAGAGCAGAGAGCAGGGTGAATGTAGTGGTGGCGACTCTGCGGTCGTCGACACTAACGGCTCGCTATATTTATACCTGCCTCGTACTGCACCGGAACTCGCTCGGTGCATTCGCTGCATCCGTGCTATCCGCTTCAACCCTGTCAATGACCTCTTCGTGACTCCCTACTACATATTTCCTGGTATGAATCCAAAATTAGATCAAATATCGAATATAAATGCATAATTTGTTATCAGAAAAATCTGCCCGACACATTTGTCTTTTCGATAACATAAAATCTTAGGGCGTATTGCGAAATGAGAAGTTCTGAAGCGAGCGGGCGCCCTTCGGTTTTGTTTGGATTACGTAACTAAACCACCCACGTCTATAGAATAGTTACCTACCGAGGGCATGAACTGTGCCATGTCAAGACGCCTGCCCTAGTTTTTACGCTAAACGAACCCTTTGTTTTAACACGTGCAAAGAAACTAGTATTTTGTTTCATATAAAGAAAATCTCGTGAATACTGGCCTTTCTTTTTTTTGTGTTTTAACTGACTTCGAAATCTAAAAGGTGGAAGTTATTTGTTTGACGGCGATCTATGTTTTTTTTATGTGACCAATATTTCCGCCATATCTTTACCGATTTTCAACATTTTTTTACAAGTTTTTGGACCGAGGTGGTGGGTCCCATTTAAATTTTATTGAAATCGAATCGGTAGTATTTCTTTTATAACAAAAAAAATACGCTTTTCACCAAATATCACCTTAATATTTCGATGATAGGTATTGTATTTTATCTATTTCAACTAAAAACACAATATTGTGTATTTTGAATTAATTTAAAATCCGAAAGAAGGATTTTCTATGTTCAAGTAGTATGTTTATTTTTTATGAAAGTAGGTGTCAATCGATTTGTTCTTGAATTGTGAACCAATTTCTATCAAACTAACTGTTTCACTGCGACTTCGCCTGCGTAAATTATAGCCTATGTCCAACGCTTATTATGTAGCTTCCCGTAAATGAAAGACTTACAAATTGTATTAGCCAATCCAATGCAAATAAACAAGCTATCAAATTTGTCCTCTTTATAATATAAGTAATAGAATTATTAGGAAAAATTGTGACGAGCAAATAAATAAAATCTTCTTTATGTTGAATATTTTTTTATGTCGATCTATATCTATACTAATATTATAAAGAGGATTGATTCGATTGTTTGCTCGAAAAGCAGCAAATAAAGGAATTGAAAAGGGAGTGAAAGTTTGTGTAGGAATGAAAACGCTACCATAGTAACGATTGGTTACTATTTAATTTGCCATTAAAATTATATCCGTGTCATAATCTAAGCGTATCATCGTGACATGATATGAATCGATATACAAAGGACAACGCGGACGAAGCCGCTGGTGGAAAGTTAGCATTTAATGTTTTTAGTGTTATCTATTATATAAGAATATCAGTATCACTAAAAAGCATGAAATAAAAACTTTAAATAAATAGAACCGACTTCAAACTTTTAAAAAGTTATAAATAATACTTATCTTAAAAGAGACTTATTCAAGAAAATGCTATAGAATTTGGGCGAAAGTCTTCTGTAGGTTTATTAATTAAATGATAGGCGCCCGATTTCAATAGTATTTTCTCGATATAAGTTTTGTTTATCACTTTTTTAAAGTTTGAAGTCTGATCTATTTATTTTAATAGTGTAGATGAATGTTGTTTGACAATACCTTACTTTTCCGTCGCAACAAAATTTGACATTTAAGTTTCGGTGAAGCTACGAACATTTTGAAATTCTTCCATTGCAAAAGTCCTTATTAATACGATTCTCCTGTTAAGACGTCACTTGTTTTATTTTGTAATACCTCCCTAAAAATATTGTTCAAGTTTTTCAGTTAAGTGTTACATTACACAGTTATGTAAGAAAGTTTTGTAAGCTTCTAATTTCTCAATAATTGTTATTTTTTAATGACGAACTTCTATACAATCTATTATTCAACTGTTTCAACTCCTATAACCCCTTTCTGTAATAAAAAGCAATCTATGACCTCCCCCCTATTTTTATTAAATAATTAAAATTTGTCATTATCTGTTTAGTGGTTGCGACTTAGATAAATTAATTACCAGTAAAATGTTTATATCATGATGTAACATTCATTCATTACACATTTTTATCATGTAATTCTTAAATTTATTATATTTTAAATTCATAAGAATATATCGAAAAAGAATTGTTACGACACAATCAAAGAAGTTGATGTAGCTAGCAAAATAAACTGGCGTAAATACTATTCCGTCGCCGTATCCGATTCGGGACGGGCTAACGATTGGCGTCGCCCGAGTCGGAATTTCCGCGAAAAAACGCAAACGTCACGTATCACGTCACCAGTGGCTGGGCGCGGCGCGACGTCACGCTCGCAAGGCCGCGCAGCCCTCCTCGACAGCTGTGAGTTAGTGATCCTACGGGTCTAGTAGGCCACGTTGAGCGAGTTACCGGCGCCATTACGCAACGTGACCTTGATTTAGTAAAAACATAAATATAATTTTTTAAATACCTTTTTATCAGTTTTAAATGAAATAATTTCTGTTGGTTCGTTAAAGTTTATTCAGTTCTAGTATTATAAAAAAAAGTACTCAAGAGGTGAATTTCAGAAACTAGTAAAATGATTGAAATGAAATTGATCTTTATTAATTACTGTTTTAACAATCTTTTATTCTAAAATATTTCTAATTTTTACATTTATTTTAACAAATAGCATATGCAGGTTTTCTATTATGTGGTGAAGGCACGGTATAGTTTGTTTTATCAACACGTGTGTCATGTGTGTGTGTGTATTTACTGATAAAATCGTATCGTTTCCTACTGATGGCGTGAATAAGCGTTCATTGCTTAAAATAGGACTAGCAAACAATCAGTTATATAATTCATACGAAAAATATATCCTTATTCATTGTAAATTAGTAAAGTTATTTATCTAATTGGAAATACCATTGCATTGTAAATTAGGAGGACCACCGTTTTCGCTTTAATTAATATTTTTCAATATTATATTAATGTCTGTATTTTCAACATTAAAAAAGCAATTGCAATAGCGGAAAACTTCTCACGCATGACTATTCTCGTTTGATTATATTCAAGCAAGTCAGTTGTACCATTTTTGTACGCACAATGAGCATTAGAAAGCGGACTGTGACCGCAAAAAGGGAGCATTGGAAAGGGCCCGAACGAAGCCCAAACTTGCGAGATGCTGTTTGTTACGTCACTATCGAGCGTAACCCCTCGCCCTTCGCCCCTCTGCCCTCCGTGCTCTGACGATAATGCGTGTGAAGTATATTACGTGAACTAAGCGTACTACAGTTTGAATCAGTACTACTAAATCTATGACGACGATAGAACTAAAAAAAAATAATTCACAAAGGGTTGAACCCTTCTAAGCTATTATTTTGGGGATGGGGTAGGGTTTTTAATTTCATGCATGTAAATAAGTATTGGACTTGTTACGACACTTGTGAGCTGGAATAGTATGAGCACACTGGCGCAGTTTTAATGTAATGTAATAATAATGCGCAGGATGTTCAGTTCTTTGATGTTAGGGGGAGCTTCTGTGCAGTTTTTGCTTCTATTTCGCCATAAAATGTAGGGCTATTGAATGTGTTTGATAGTTCGTATTTATAAGACGTACCTGTCTATCAATTTGTTTTTGACAGCTGTTTTTCTGCGACTTCATCTGCGTAAATTAGCCTATAGCAACCGTGTATAAAATAGCTTTCCGTAGGTAAGAGTTTAATCTGATCGGTGTTTCTGAAGACCCCCTACAAACTAAGTTTAGAAACTACCTCGTTATAATATTAGTATAGACAGCAGATACTTGAAATTATTATTAGGTACCTGTATGTTTTTTAAACAATGTGTGATTAATTTAGATGGACTATGACGAAGGCGAACTTGTTCAATAATGGAATCGTATAATGTATGCGTGAGCGCATTGTTTCCTATTGACGTCGCGATGTGCAATGTAGGTAACGCACGCAGAATTGCAGAGTGCAATCTGAATAACCGCTAGCTTCCGCATACAAACTACATTTATTTTGCTTAAAGTTCCGTTAAATGTTTCATTATATTTAGGCATTGCAAAATTATTCATATTCTATAAAAAAGGTTAGCATGGAGTTTAGTTTATCATATCATTTAACTTTTAAATGGGAAAATGAATTCTAGTTTATCCTACGTACTCTTAATGTAACGTTCAAAACAAAGGTTGAGCTTAAAAGTACGTAACCTCTAGACAAAGTTACCTTTGCTGTCCTTTTTTCATTGTATCATACAAAAGAGATATACGTTTATGTATTTTTTACTTGTTTTAAATATTCAAGTTGTTCGGTATAGAAAAGAATGTTTCACATGTATACACATACATGTAAAAGATTCGCCTAGTTCTTCTGTTATTTAATTTGACACAGCTGAAAGAATTCTTTACTAGCAGGAGATTTTGAATTTAGTTTGAAATAAGTTATTTTGTAATTTTTGGTATGTTTTCATTTTGTTGGGTGAAATACCCATTTATTTACAAATTCTTATTAATTGAACTTTTACTTGTAATAAAAAAATTACCTAAAGTACTTATTTAAGTAACAATAATAAGCCGTAGCTAAGTCTCAAGTACCGTATAATATGGCCTCGAACATGCATTTGTACTGCTATAACAGAATGAATGCAGAACCTGCATAGGTACATCGAGTATTTCCTGACATTGTTGTTGCAGTTTATCATTGAAATCGATGCAATTATCGTGACTTGTGGTTTGTTCGCACGATTCCTCGTTAATTCATTTCCAGAGATATTGCAATTGTATGATTTTAAAAAATCATGAAGGATGGACATATCTAGCTGAAGTATTTTTATTTTCGTTATTTATATTAATCAGTCTAGTAGTAATTTAATCAAACTCAACTAATTCCATGCAAGGTTCGCTGTCAATTTTTTTTTTCACTAGAATGTGATGCAGGGACAACACTATATTAAACAACTGGCGTCAGTTTCATTCGGATCGACGATTAACTTTCCTCCAAAAAATATTAATGAACAGTAAAAATTTGTATAGTTAATGCAGTGAATATACCGGTAACATATTGCCAGGCAGATGCTGACGTAATGAGCCACTTAAATTTTACAATACAGTGCTTACCCGCATCGCTATTAATTTATCTATGTATATCTGTACTATAAATTTTACCTGGTTGTAATAAATGTTAGTTATTTTGTCAAGTCGAGACGTCTTCTCGGAATTCTTAACCATATATGCCTTGGGGCATTGCGTGTGTGCTATTACCATCGTAGCGTGCACACATTTTTTTTGCAAAATTGGCAAAACGAACAGTAGACATTGCGCTAATGGCAAGATTTAATATAATAGGACATTCTACTGAATTGCTTCCAGTCTGTGAATTTTCTTAGCCGCATAACACTGTGTCTAAAATATCTTTAGTGAGATCATTTGTGTGTAGGTTATTATACTGTGAGTGATATCGAATCGAATGGGCTGAAACTGGGTCAACTAGCATGACGCCAGCGATAAACCAGCCCTCCTTTATTATCAATTTCGTACCACTGGAAATATGCAGTTAGTTAAGAAACGAATTAAATCATCGTTATGATAAGTATCTAAATATTTATTTAATTATGTCATTTGAAAATGGCTTTCTATAAGCAGAAGACTTTGGTTTTTATGTGGATAAAATTCCATATTCTCGTGTACGAACTAGAATTATTATTAGAGCACTAATAATATCGTTTTGCGTTAGCAACGCTTCGTTGTTATATGGTGCGTGCAAACTGCATTTCGCATTGCATTTGCCATGAAACCAAGGGCGTGATGCAATACGGTCAGGTGAATTGCAGGTTCATGTTGAATGCACCTCTTGATTGCATCACGTCGTCATGAAGTACATTAGATGTAGGCACTTAGGAAACACTTTGGCATAGTTATTTGTAAAGATTTATGGTAATCAAAGACATCTTACATAGTTCTCGTCTCTATAGGTCTCGTTTCTCGTTCGTAAGCATCGCGTAGCTAAAAGTAGGTAGTTGCTATGATATCGAATATGTAACAAAAGAATACATTCGCGGTATTCATTTGACCGATATATATTAATATACTTAGTTGTCGTTAGACCTCATCGTGGGAAAGTGTTTCGTTGTTTGAGTCCGGTGCGACTTAGCAACTCGTGCCGCGTATGTGGTCTGGCGCGCGGCGAATCACGTGTCCGCGATGTGAGCGTAACGCACCTAGCCACTTGCTTCAGTTATGTAAAATGTGATGCTATGACGACCGACAAATGAAGTCTATAAATAGCGGTTCATGCGTCCTTGAGCCGCCACAAGTGCAGAACTAGGTCAGGTGGAGCTGCCTCTAGAACGGCGGCGTCCGACCGCGCGTCGCCGGTGCTCCCCTCGCGGCGTTAATCGCCACACCCGCGTTCTCCATACACCACTGTTAACACAAAAGCTCCACAATTACGACTATCAGTTATTATAATATTACCTCGTAATAAATTCTTAAAACATCGCTTGCCAATCGCCATGCTTTCAGATATACAAATTGATACTGAATCGTCCTTCCGATTCTCCGTTCGCTTTTAGCAGATGTCCATTGATGGTGCTTTCAAAATTTATTATGTCATGCCTTGGATTTAAATAGCGAGTAGTCGGGATCGGTTTGTGTAGATCAGGGGTATTGTATACATACATAATTTGGTTACCTGGATGAACAGATAATAATGTTCCGGCGGGTGCCGATCCGGTAAATAATTGATACCGGCCTAAGGGCCTTGGGTGTTTATTTTCATATGTGTAGTATGTTTTTATCGTAAACACACAAGCGAAGATGAATAGTAAGATAATCTGTGCGGCCTTCGTCGCTCGGTTTTATCGTCCCACACGTATCATATTAGCACGATACTGAAACTTTATGGAGAATATTTTTACATTCTTAAGAATGTTCCGTTTCTCCTCCATAGATATATGTTATTTATATATATATAAAGCTGGTTTAGCATGTTTTACAAAAGTAATGAATTTACAATGCAAACAAATGTATAAAATATTAATATAATGTCAGCAGCTTAAGTGTTGCTGTTTACCATAAGTAGACTTAAGAAAGAAAATAGACTTGACTAGTTTATCTATACTATAGTTATGTGGAGTTTATGGAGTTCGATTTATGAAATAACCTTAGGTCTTTTATGATGATAAATAAATTATTTTAGCTCAAAATGAGGGTTGTGTTAGATACAGCAGCTTATTATTTCATTTATTAATGTGGACAAGCATCGACACGGTTCAGATTGTGTGATATGTATCGAAATCGGTTGCAGGATCTAGGTGATTTATCAGCTCTTATAGATGTGAGCAACAAGTCTCTTTGTAACAGTATGCTTTAAATCACCTCATATTGTTGCAAAGAATGTTTGATATTTTATCTAAGTTTTATAGTTCTTAATTAAGTTTCATCCAAGAGCTGAAGAATTATCTGAAGACTGAATTATATCTAGCCTAGTATTCGTTTTTGTTATACATATTACTATTATAATATATGTTCTTATTTTTCCCAAAATATTTTTATGCTAGCTATTGTATTTTTTCAATAATAATGATACTGGCGATGTAACTCATAACATAATACTTGAATTTGAATAGATGTTATAGAGATAGTGAGAATGAATACCATGCCGCTGCATAGGTACTCGATATTTCCCGATCTACTTTTGAATATTGCGTGACAATCAGCAATCACGTTTATACAGCGGAACAATGAATGCGAGTAAAGTGTAATGTCGAGTATGATTATGTATGTCAAGCTATGTCGTTTGGAACGCGGCGGGTGAAAACTTTCAGTTCGTCGTGTGTGCGTATTATCGTTATTTAATTTTAGTCGTCGCTTGGTTGTCGCTTTCAAAGTGAACATCGGCCGCCACCTGTCTCGTTCCTTTGTTTCGGTCTTGCAAATGTCAGCGGAGGTCATCTAAAAAGGAGGCGGTATAGGCGTCCGATTCGGACTGCGATCACTGTCTAGACGTCGTTGTGTTGCATCGTGCGATCGATTGCACGAACGAACTTCAGACGGTCGTCGACCCCGCGGGCGCATCGGTGACGTTACGCTCCGGTGATGCGCTCCTCAATAACCTTACGGATATTACGAACGGTTCGGTGGTCTTTTCTATAATTTATGCACCTTGACGCGCTATCTCAGTTTTTCCACGAATTCCGATTGGTGTCTCGTTATGCACGATTTCGAATTCGGAAATAATAATAATATGAATCTATGTTACTTACCTGAGTCATTAATCCAATCACCTGCGCCGAGATAATATAATATTTTTTTCTTACTATTCTTTGAATTCCAAAGATGGCAGTACGATTCAATTCTTTGGGCTAAGAACGCTGCACGTAATGCTGTATTAAGTTTGAAAGCTTCACAAAAAGCGGGACCGACCGGTTTAGATTTTCGGACGAGTAAAAAACCTTTCGCTTTGTATTTTTCTCCCTAAAGGTTCAACAATTTTAGTTGGTATTTGTAAGGAACTTTTATTTATACATTTATGACTACAATATGTTTCACGTTGCCTCTTATATAAATTTGTGCGACTCTTTTTTTTTTGTTACTAATAATAATAGAAGTAATACTACAGAGATGTTCTGAACTGACCTTGTGCAACAGTAATAAAATTTAGTGACATAAACATTGTTTTTGTTTTTTTTTTACGTAGGGCACGCTACTAGGTACTACTTTTCAAATGTAAACGAAACGAATTGTTTTATTGCCTCAATTCATTGTACTATAGGGAAACAATACGCGATAATAAAACTGTTTGCGTTCGGTGTTTCGTAACTTTTTTTTAACATTAGGGCAACGAAAGCATTACAAATGGCGTTGTACGTGTCGCCGGGGTTCTCGAGGGCTGCCGATGCACATCTGCGGTTGGCGCTGATGTTCAAGGCCCGGAGGCACTGGGCTGCGGCTGCTGTGCACTTCAAGCGAGCTCGCCTCGCTCCTCATCAGGACGCTACGTTCACCAGGCTCGAGCTCAGCTTCCACGCCGCTCATCTCCTCGAAGCGAAGGGGCTGAGAAAACTTGCGAGAGACGCGTACGAGCGCCTACTGAAGGAGCCTCAATTGTCTTCTTCTCTGAAGGCTGATGTCTGTCGGCAATTGGGTAAGTTATTTTTTATAGAACTCATAAGTGGTTTTAAGACTGAAGGATATGACGTTGCTTATTTTTTTTTTGCGTTTAATTTTGTAGTCTCTTACCCGATTCCTGGAACTAGGTATAACGTCTTCCTATGTTGATAGGTTCTTCTACTCAATTGTCATTTCTATCATGCCAACATAACCAATACATCACTATTTCTATCTATCTCAATTCATTGCTCTAAATTACAGTAAAGCTCCTTAAATATGCTTGGTGTACTGTTTTCATTATAGGTAAATCCTCTTATAGCAAATAATAAATTGTTATCCAACTGCTGTATATTTGTTTTAGAACGGGCTTATTTCAAACGGGTATTCAGAAATTGTGCAATGTTGTCCTTTAGAGCCGATTGGAAATGTTTTCTTGGATAACAAGCACCTTTTGTTCACCGACTTGTTTCAGAATTTTTGGGAACAATATTACCTACGTATATCTGTTATTGCTAACAATTTCGTAAGTGTGAATAAATCAATAAAGTCCCTGATAGATCAGGATAGATTGTAATCTTCGATCAACTTCAAATACTTTTTACTACAAATATTGTTTATGTAAATACAATAGTTAACAAACCGATTATGTTTTCAGCGTAAGAACGATATTATGTCTTGTGTTACGTAATGTTATAATATAATATACCACTACTAACACTTTGGAATGTATGACGTAGGTGTACAATCGGTGACTGAAGTATCCAAGAAGTACTTTACGGTATTGTTCTTTCTTATTGGTTTTAACAATTTATTTATGTTAGATCTCCCATTTTGTGTATATCGATCCCTACAGTTGAATAAGGAGAAGAGATCAACTATTTTTGTCTGAACATAAAGCTATTTTCGACTATTGAAATCTCTAACTAAGAAAGTTGTTGTAGTTCTATATTGAAATGTTTATTAGGAACGGAAAATATCAATAATAAAATAATGAAGCAAACAAGGTTTTATTCCATCAAACTGGATTAAAAAAGAAAAATATTTCTTTCAGTATCTTAGGTCCTCGAAACAAACATTTATTTTAATAGTTTAATAGCGTGTGTAAAGTGTCTTTATATCGAGATTGTAAATTGAATGCGAGGTTCATCGGATATACACATAAAATACCATCGGTAAAGTGGCGACTATTAAAGCATGGATAATTTGTATGCAAATTGTTCGAAACATTCAGGTAACGGACAATGAATACAATATTCCTGTTGAGTCCCGTTATACAGAGCTATATTACTTCAACTAACACAGCCAGTGAACCATCCAGCCACGAAACACAGTGTGAGTTAGATTGACCCTATAGATAACTCAAGGAAAGATATTCCATTAATGCAAGGCTTCCATGTTGAATTAGCTACGAAACTTTATCATCCAAATAGGTTTTTATACTGTCATATGGCAATTTTCGATGTAACGTAAATTCCACTGACAGTGACTAAAGTTGTGTTTGTTGATGTGTATGTTTTTATTTACAGGATGGTTATATCACCGTTGTGCGTCCTTATGTGATCCGGCGGCTCGCGCCCGTGCCGCCATCTGGTGTCTCCGGCGAGCGGTGGACGCGGAACCAGAGTCTGGTGCAGGACTATACCTTCTTGGGAGGTGTTTTGCCGCCCAGGGCAAAGTTCACGATGCGTTCATAGTGTATAGAAACTCCGTGGAGAAGTCTGAAGGCAACGCCGACACGTGGTGTTCTATTGGGTAAGGTCGTTATATTATTTCGATGTAGTTATTCAAAATCAGCCGGCGTCTTTGTAAAACTTAAAAAAATATAAGCTTTAATAATGGTATTTCTATATCTGTTTGGATTTTGTCAAAAATATGCTGATAATAATGACACAAACTTATAATTCGCCTAGTGACAAATAATTTGGTTGAATTTTTACTAACTGAATTTTTAATAGAAATGTACAACTCATCTATAAATGCTAGGTCTTATAATACATGTACCTATCATGCTATTCTACGATTTGTTGTAATTGCCTTTAAGTTGTCTTCGAGAGCCCCTGGCATGTATCACCTATGTGGTATATACTCTTGGTGTACATTACTGCCTACTTCATTTAAATCAAGACACGTCTCGTTTGAAATCCCGGAATAAGTTGTTGCTTTGACAGCGACTAGCATTAAAACTTCTTTATTGTTTTTTAATGGCGTCTGGTCGTATCTTCGTCCAATGACTTAATAACTGGTTTTCTCAGAGTTCAATCTCCGATAACGCGGAAAAAAAACAGGATTGAACGAATCACTCACGTTGTCTCGTTGACTTGTTAGCTCGTTTCTCTTTACCTAAACATAACCTGGTTGTGATAATTGCATCAATACAGATTTATTCCGAACGCGTATATGCTACAGTTACATTATATTGAATACTAAAAAAACCTCCGCAGTCTGGTCGGGTATGTTGTGGTTTTTTTGCTGATTTGAAATCCGGGTTCAAATCCCGAGGTAGAAAATTGGTTATTACTGGTCTGTTAGGATTAGGATTTTATAAATGGTTGAAATACAGATAAGGTAATATGACTACGTTTTTGCATATAGAGTGCTATACCAGCAGCAGAATCAGCCGATGGACGCTTTACAAGCGTACATATGTGCGGTGCAGTTGGATAAAGGTCATTCCGCGGCGTGGACTAACCTGGGCAGCCTGTACGAGAGTTGTCAGATGCCGAGGGACGCGTTTGCATGTTACACTAATGGCGGGGCCGCGGCCACCGCATCCAATGCTGCTTTGAGGCAGAGACTAGCCTTCCTCAGAGCCCATTTGGCGCACGCACCTATGCCTTCAGTTACTGGAAAGTAAGTGCAGCTTTAATTTGTCCAGTAATATTTTTCGGGTTGCAAGTTGGTTAGATTGAAATATATGAGCAAACATAATAGTCTGGGTTTTTGACATTTTTGATAAGAATCGTTTTTTCTCCGGAATGGAAATATTGATGACCAAAAATTTGGCCTCTAAGGAAATATTGCGTTGACAGGTTGGTTAAATTTTAAAAACTTTTATATTAAAAAATGATATAATTTATTTCTTGATATTAATTAAAAACTCGTTTATGAGTGTCGAAAACTACTTCCGATAGTAAATAGTAATTTAATCAGTCATCTTTATAATTGAATCGGGAATGTGCAATATAAAATACAAAGTGTTATATAATAAAATAAACAGTAGCAACAGCGTAGACACAGCACACGAGTATTCTATACCACATGTCAAAAATCGAAATTTTGTTAATTTCCATAACATTGATATTTTTCCTTTAGGCGGCGTCAACTGCCATCTATCGAGGAGGCGTGGAATCTGCCGATATCTGCGGAGATGTCGTCGCGCGCGCCCAAGTCCGCCCCGCCTCCATATCCGGGCAAGCGCGATGAGCCGCCACAACTGACAGCACATCAGTTGCAGACCTTGCAGTATTTGCAGCGCAACTCGCATAACCTCTCGCCACACCAACAAGTACTACTCATCACACAAAAAAATCAGAATAGAAAATATTAGATACAATAGCTAGAATGGGTGAAATTGATAAAATAGAGTATTACACACAAACAGTATAAAATTAACAGATACAAGAAGAAAGTGCAATGTTTGTGTTGTCAAAACTGATTCTAGCTCAGTTTAAGTAAGGGTTTAGTATATTACACCAGTATTCTACTGGAGCCAGCAGCTAGCTACACGGACTACTAAAACAAATAATAAACTAGCGAGTAAACGAAAAAGGAAGAGAATATAAAATACTTCTATGTAGTTTCTGTTTTTAGTACTTATTACAATGTCTTAAAGATGGTGTTTCTTTAAATACTTACATTAAGATTATGAATATGTAGGAAGCAATGGAAGTATGTACACGTAATAAACATTCAGCAACTAGCAAAAAAAAAAAATTTTTTTTAATAAATCGATGATCGACTTCGTATGTACAGTGTGTAGTGAAATGTTACTAAATTGCTTTATTGAATACCGATAAAGATAATCAATCGGCTCGGTTCATTGTGTTATCTGATCGATTTGTATTTGTTCGCAGGCTATGATGCAGCAACTACTAACACAGTATCGCCTCGCTCAGGCGGCGAGAGCGCGTACGGTTCGTAATAGTATATAGTTTAAAGCGGCGGCAGGTTGTAGGGATACTGTTGTATGTGTATTAGAGTGTGTTGTGACGTCACTTATATTTTACAGGTGACCAAAAGCGAAGGTAGTAATAATGCGACCGGCGGCGACATCGCTGAGTCGCTCGCCGAAGATCTGTTGAAGAGGTTCTCAGATTCTCAGCCAGATATCAAGAAGGAGCCGTCTAGTAACAGTGAGTATTATTATTGTTGATTTTGAAGAAATATGTTAAGCAAGTTCTTTTTTTTTCAGTGAATAAATATTTATGCAGCTCATATTAGCTATCAATGCCGAAATATCTTTTGTATGAGTTCAATTTTTTTTAAATGTTTAAAATCAACTCGAGAAATGTGATAGCACTGGATAACTTGATACGCTATTAATGAGTTACTTCTAAGAATGTGCCTAATTAGGAAAATTAACTCGTGTTAAATAAAAAATAAAAGAAAACGTATAAACGTAACAAAGCAACATTACGTTGTAATACGATATTATGGTTTTCTTTGCTTTAAGCAATAAAAAGTAATTCATGGGAACATATCGACGCTGGAAAGCAAACACGTAGTAACCCGCAAAACCAAAACGGATATTTAGAGTGGAAAATCTTAATATTTTAAAAAAAATAATAATATCTTATTCTGTATAAATAGACTAAGGAACACTTTATTTGTTACCATGAACGTTTATAGGAATTATTTATCGAAAACCAAAAGTTTTTCTGCTCTGAAGAACAATTTTGGTTTTGCGGGTTACTACGTGTTTGCTTTCTAGCGTCGATATGTAACATTAAAGATGTAGGCATTACTGCGACTTTCTGTCTCCAATTTTATTTTATGTAGTGTTAGTAAAGCACTCGTATGTGGTAAATAGTTTCACAGAGTAGTGAACAAAGTGTGTAAATTAGGACGACTGTAATATTATTCAATAATGATTGCTGCATATTTTGATGCAAAGAGGAAGGGAATAATTTATATCCAAAAGACAAAACGTTCGTACATATTTATTTACATAATATCTAATATTCCCCATTAAGAAAAAGAGAAAAACAAAATCGGTTTACATATTTATATATTTGAATTGTATTATTATTATTTAAACCTCCTACAAATGTTTCATATCCTCATGCATGTATGTAAAACATGTTTTATCAGTCTCACAATAACGATACGGCATGTACTATCATAAATCACGTACGTCATGTAGTGTGTATATGTATACCATAACAATAAAGTGCTTACCTTTAAACGACTGTACGATGCTAATGTTTAGTTTATACTCGTTTGATTTATATAAATATAGGTGTCTGTATCGGCGTTATTCACTTAGGGGAGATACTAGAATGGGGTGGTATTATTTGTAATCGTGGGACCTAAGTTAGGACTCAATGTGTAGAATTATTATTAGCAATTATGGATCTATAAAACATGCTAGTTTATTTACGGTTGATATTGTTAATTCTATATCCAGTTTTGTACACAAATGTTTTATAGTAACATAATCGGCAGGTGTTACGCATTTGACTTTGAACCATAATACAGGTGTTCTGGTAGTGCTTAATATACTTATTATTTTATTTATAATATTGCTTAAATTATTTATGAAAAATCAAATATTTTGTACGTGAGCGCAAACAGTGCGTGACGTCACGACCCTCTTACTCATATCGGAACTTATATAATTCAACCTTATGCACATTTCGCAGTCAAGTGGTATAATCAGCCGGCTAATTGTGCTGCTAGCTCTGTAATTGAATGGAGCCATTCAATTATATGCTGACTTGGATCAGCCGAGTAGCTGAACGCATCGTTCTACGTTACAGCTGAACAAAGTGTAGCCCGCTAATTAACTGTAAATATTTTCGTCAATATAAAAATTAATTGGTAGGATTAGAAGTAAAACAAATTAAATATTGTAGTGAGTGATTTTAAATAAAAGTCAAAATCTTCTTTTTACTATCTGTAATCGATACATATAAGGACTGATCAAAAAGAAAACAGTGCTTATCGGCGACTAGGTGTTAATGGTTCATATGACCCAATATAAGAAGCTTAACGAACACACCAATAACATAACTGGGTTAAGCGTAAACTTTCATGATAAATTCTTAATACAACAATTATAAAAGACAAGATGTTAGAAATTCTTAAATTTAAATGTGATTTATTTTAACAGATATTAAATTAAATGAACATTTTCGCGACTTTCAATCGGCCGTCTTGTTTAACGGTCCAAATGTTATAATTATTCAACTAGAAAACTATGCGTGCAATTGAATGGTGCCATTCAATTAAATGCCTAGTCGCCCAATTTTTATTTACATTTCTATCCAGGGGCTCTATTTTTGAATCATTCGTCTCGCGTCGAGCGCTCGTTTTCTTCTATCACTCGCATACAACGTTCGCTAAGCGACGAGTGGTTCATACCACTCGTTGCAGTCGAGCGATTTAGAAATGGCGAATTTGTTAAGTCGAACGAAAATCAGTAGAAAACGAGCGCTCGACGCGAGACGAATGATTCAAAAATAGAGCCCCTGTAGTTTCGGAGCCTACCAAAAAACAGTCATAACTTTGCTTTGTATAATATTAGTATATATTTTAAATCTAAGAATTTTTTCATAGTCAACATTGTTATCATTAAAAATAATAAAATTATTACAATTCTATTAGAAAACTCAATTTTTCATATGCCACTATACAGACCTTGACTTACGGAAGAATTAGCAAGGAATTCCATACTTATTTCAATATCATAATATATACAATAATTTTAATATATGAATTAATAAGGAAATCACATGTTATCCACGCATTCTTATCTCCAATAATCAGATATCCTATAATAAGTTTTTATTTAATATTGCTTGTTAAAGTACTATAGAAGCGCACAGAATAACATTATTTTACTTGAAAGACCAGTAACTTGTCGCTTGTAGGTGGCGTTATCCAATAATAACCGAACTTTAGCTGCTTTGTGTATAGTGACCTTGATATGAAGCTCCATAGAACCCCTATTGGATCGAAAATGTGTTGTATATTAGGTATAAGTATGTTATGTACGAAGGTCCTCGCATAGGGAGAGGACAAAGGGTTATATCAAACTAGTGTTAAGTTAGAGCCAGTTGTTGAATGAATGGATTGTCCGCTGTTTGAAATAAACTTTTTTGTGTTGACACTTTTTTGATACTTACGATTAATTCTTATTAATGAATGAAAAGAGATAACAAGTTAAATAAGTCGAGCAGAATCTTTGTTACGTTGGGGCTAAAAATGTCACGAGATAATACTATAAATAATTTAATCAATTTTTAAGACCGTGACCATATTAATTAATATTTTCAGGAATTTCTTATTTATTCACGTATCGTATTTTAGTGTAGGTGCATCGTGTTTGTATTACATTTTAATATTAACTTATGGCATTATTGGAGAAAGTATTGAGTCTTGTAATTTTTGTTTCCTTATGACACTAAAATCAAATTATTTATTAGCAATTTATTCGAGACCCGATCAGATAGTTACCATAGTAATCTATGGATTTCACCCCTTTCTTTTTCCATTAAGAAAATACTTCATAAATAAATTACCTCATTAAACATATTTTTATTTATCAAAGTTATTCTTATAATCTTTGTTTTGATGTTTGAATTTATTTTTTTAAGAGCATTGAGTATAAATAACTTTTATATCTGACTGCGTCATCTAAACAAATTGAAATTTATTCCATTTCATGTTCATTTTATATGTCGAAATTAATATATTCGCTTGACATTGGCAGAATTACGCGAAACGCGCAGATAAGCCATTTATAAAAGAGGAAGAAATCAGGAAAATATATAGTAACAGTAAATTCTCTATCTGTACAATGGGTTTTTCTAAGAAAAAGAAAAATACGAAAAGTGAGTTTGGAAATAATATGACATTCTGTGGACAGGCCTTGACGCGAAACTCATGGTCGCGAGTTCATACGCTAATGACGTTCATATACAAAAATAAAAATCAACAATAGCTTAATCTTGTTTGGAGTATTTAGTGCTGTCTGCCGCGCTACTACGGCGCTTAACAAGTTTAATTATGAATGAAATGTTTATGAATTTAACGACTATATCAGCCACATAGTATGCTTAATTGTAGTACCAAAATGACTGTTTTTTTTACGTGAACCATTATGTAGTGTTTTTGTCGATTACAACTTATGATAAATCATTAATATTTTCATTAATAAACGGATTAGATCTGTTTTTGATTCGTTATCCAATATACGTTATTTTTGGTTTTAACGAAATATATTTATTATTTGTATGCTATTGTTTCTATTTTGCATAAACATCGCTCATTATATGCGGAATAAATAGTACTTGAAGTTTTTTTTTTTAAATTTAACATTATTTTTAGTTTAGTAGACAGTCAATATAAATGTAATGTACGAGTTTGTTAATTATTTGAGTAACATATTAAAAATGATTTATTGAATTTTAATTGAATAACTAAATTTTATGTAGTCGGTGTTTAGTTGTTATTTTTTCCAATATTTATTTTTGTTGTTTTTTGTCGTAGCTGAGTTGGTGAATAATGCGAGCGCGAATAGCGACGCTGTGCTGGGCGGGCGGCAGCCGGTGGTGAAACTAGAGCCGCTCAAGACCGACCCCCTCAAACCCATTTCTTTTCACGTCGGCATGAGTGCCAAACAGATTCTAGATGTTTGCAAGTGAGTTTTTGTGTTTGTGCCTATTAAAAATCTTATAAAATTAATACATTATTAAATTTTACTTTTATCATTTCAATTTTGTTTTTATTTTCTATGAAATTATCTTGTTTAATACAAGTATTTTGTTTAATTAGGGAAAATGCAGGTCCGCCCTCGTCGTGGTCGGTGCTCGGTGACGGTTGCGGACCGCCCGAGCCCCCGCCGGTGCCGCCGCCTCGCCTCACACCCGAGCAACTAGCCCCGCCCGCGCCCTTCGTTTACGTCGAGTCGAAGCGCGACGCGTTCTCGCCCCAGCTCCAGGACTTCTGCTTGAAGCATCCGATAGCGGTCGTGCGAGGTCTCACCGCCGCCCTCAAACTGGACCTCGGCCTCTTCTCGACGAAAACACTGGTGGAGGCGTGGCCCGACCACGCGGTGGAGGTGCGCACGCAGCTGATGCAGTCCGCCGACGAGAACTGGGACCCGACCGGGCGGCGGCGCGTTTGGGCGTGCGCCTCGCACCGCTCCCACACCACCGTGCGCAAGTACGCGCAGTACCAGGCCGGCTCCTTCCAGGACTCGCTGCGCGAGGAGCGCGAGCGGGGCGGCGCCGCGGCCCCCGCCGCCCCCGCCAACCTCGCCGCCGGCGCGCTCTCCGACTCGGACGGCCGCGAGTCCGGCTCCGGACCGGTCAAGCGCCGCCGGACCGCGCGCATGCTCCGGTTCGGCACCAACGTCGACCTCTCCGACGAACGCAAGTGGCGGCCCCAGCTGACCGAGCTGCAGAAGCTGCCCGCGTTCGCCCGCGTCGCCTCCGCCGCGAACATGCTCTCGCACGTCGGCCACGTGATCCTCGGCATGAACACGGTGCAGTTGTACATGAAGGTGCCCGGCAGCCGCACGCCGGGCCACCAGGAGAACAACAATTTCTGCTCGATCAACATCAACATCGGCCCCGGCGACTGCGAGTGGTTCGGCGTGCCGGACGCGTACTGGGGCGGCGTCCGGGAGCTGTGCGAGAGACACGGGCTGTCGTACCTGCACGGGTCGTGGTGGCCGGACCCGGAGGAGCTGCGCGCGCACGGCGTGCCCGTGTACAGGTTCACGCAGCGGCCCGGCGACCTCGTGTGGGTGAACGCCGGCTGCGTGCACTGGGTGCAGGCCACCGGCTGGTGCAACAACATCGCCTGGAACGTGGGCCCGCTCACCGCGCGCCAGTACGCGCTCGCGCTCGACCGGTACGAATGGAACAAGGTGCAGAACTTCAAATCAATAGTGCCCATGGTGCACCTGACGTGGAACCTGGCGCGCAACATCCGCGTGTCGGACCCGCGGCTGCACCGCGCCATGCGCACGTGCCTGGCGCAGACGCTGCGCGGCGCGGCGGGCACGCTGGCGGCGGTGCGCGCGCGCGGCGTGCCGGTGCGCTTCCACGGGCGCGCGCGCGGCGAGGCGAGCCACTACTGCGGCGTGTGCGAGCGCGAGGTGTGGCACGCGCTGCTGGTGCGCGAGCACGAGCGCCGCCACGTGGTGCACTGCCTGGCGTGCGCGCGCCGCGCCTCGCCCGCGCTGCACGGCTTCCTCTGCCTGGAGGAGCACCACGTGGACGAGCTGGCGCAGGTGTACGACGCGTTCACGCTGCACCGCCCCGCGCCGCCCCCGCCCGCCACCGCGCCGCCCCCCCTGCCGACGCCCGACTGAGCGGGACCCCGCTCGCCCTGGGCCCCTGTCCACGTACCTGTATTTATTTCGTTTGAGAGTGTTCGGAGTCCCGGCGATCCGGACGGCGCTGCGTTCTTCCCGTTGCAGTATTAGACGCTAGTTAGCTCGCTCGTTTTTTTCGTACGTGTCTTCGACCAAATTCGATTGAATGAGAGATCATCGCGATCTATTTTTGATACGCGGCATGAGAATATAGATTTAGACAATTTTCTCGTGATGCGAATATTTTCGGTGATAAAATGTAATTTTGTAATACGGTAATCTTTACACTGCGCGTTTACACTCCTCCTCGATCACTTTTGTAATTGTGCGAGATGATATTTATAAAATGAAGTCAATTTTCGGCGATAGTGGCCGACGGAGAGGCGCTCTAGGAACGACGGCAACCTCCTCGTGTACATATAATATTAGTCCGAAGTGTATTCGATTCGTATAGTTCGGAGGTCGACCCGCCTAGATCTCGAGAGTTCAGGTGTTCACCATGATATAAATGTGTTATTTTTGTATAGAGGCATATTTATTTATTTTTGTCATACTGTGACATTAGTTTCATTTTATAGTAGTCTCATAGTGAATAGTAGTCGTAAGCGTATCGCACAGAATGAGAGACCTTGCGTTTTAGCAAGGTCTGGCGAACAGTGCTGCAGTCCCAAAGAATGTTATACCCGTATAGGCAAGCTAATGGAAAATTGTACCTCTCTGTATCTCTATCTAACTAATAATATCTGTGCCTGTTTTCTTAATTATTGGGATTTGACTAAATTATTTGTTGACAAAATTAGAATTGTTTTTATTTTCTTTTGAATGTAAATTATTGTGGTAGGAAATGTTTCGAGGATTGGCATAAATTAGAATGGAATAGATCGAGTAAGCTCAGGGTTGGCAGTAAGACGGACTCGTTCCCGGCACCACCGTTTGTTGTTTCTCTTGAAGTTTTATGATGTGTTGTCAGATTTCAATGTTGATTGTATTACTTTCTACGGTGTCTGGAACGAGATGGTTGGAAATGTGGAAGCGTTGGTCGGATTATGTATGGCGAGAGCCGTTAATTTTTAGGTAATAAATAATAACATCACTGCCATGTATGACCTTACTGTTTATACTGTAATATTAAATTTTAATAAATAATAAGTACTGTATTATTATTTTTATTTCTCCTCTTAATTGTCAAACGACACTAGTATTTTTAATTAATTATCCACTTGAAAGTTATTGAAAAAAAAACAGAAATACGATCGATACTATTTAAGATTTAAAACAGTCTTTCGTGCGTGTACACCTGCTAAGTTCACCTGGGTGGTTCACAACCCACCTATAGATGGGCATGATCCTCCTTCGCCTGGGTATATTTGATTGTTTCTTTGCATTGACACTACTGGACCGGTTTTTTTATTTCTTTAACAACGGGAAGTAACACCTTCTCTGGTGACATAAGTTATAATTTACCCGGGAAAAGTAACGGCAAAAGCTAGTTTTACAAAAAATCTGATGTGACACGGTACGCTTATCACTGCTAGTTCGATAGTAGAATGCACTATACAAATTGAGTACAAAAGTTGAATACGAAATTAGCATTAGCGCTCATAAATTAGTAACAATGAAAGAGGAAATATTGTGCTGTTTAAACACGCGAGGCACGTCCAAAAAGTGCACTTGGCTCTCACGGCCATAGGGAATGTATCCAATATGCTGGCGATGGCCGTGTTGGCATCTGAGCCGCCTGACAGATCTTTACTTGTTTTCTAATGGTCGAAATATAATTTTATTTGTGTGTTAGGCTGGCAGCGCCACAATTTTCGATTTTGAAATGAATTCTTGATCCATCCAGTTTCTTATTTATCTAACTAGGACATAACTGCCTTAATTAGCTAAGGTGACTACTTTTAAAGATAATTGAGAAAAAAATGTGACGCTGCTAGTCTGACCCCAGTGTCGCCACGCTTAATCTAATGCTCAATATCAACTTCCATTACTTGAAGGACACGCATTCAAAACGTTCACATGAAACGGTTTAGAATTGTATTCTTTTAAAATGTCAAGTCATTTTAACACGAATTCATTAAACATTGTAAACTTGGACATTCTCCGAGTAGGTATTCACCGCTCTCGTCCATGGATGGGTGTCCAAATATTTATTAGCTCAAGCTCTGCTTGCTCCGGAAGGTACACTACGTTAATCATTGGTCCCAGCTGCACCCTGCAGTCGTTTACACCCACCAATCCGCACTAGGCCCAATCCGTGGGGACATTAGTAGGCTGATGATGTCGATATCTACAAAAACTTGGCCTTGAAATATTAATTGTGGAAACTGGATACATTCTCACTAACATAATCTAACAACGATGTATAATAGTCTGAGAATAAAAAAAATATGATGGAATAATATGTACAAATTTATTTATTTAAACTTAATACAAGGATGATTAATATAATTTTAAGTAAGCAATTATAGCACCTATATGTTATTTCATTCACAATAGTGTCAATTTCATAAAAAGTATATTATAATATGGACTATTAAACATTCTTATAAATTCGAATAGGAATATAATATATTAGTTCCCATTCAAAAACTATAAGGTGATTGATCCTTAATTTTCTTCAGTGGATAAATAAATTATGATTCAAGCAATACATTGGGAATGAATCGAGTAAATTTAATACATCTGTATAGCAAAAATAGTATTTTCTAAATAATCGTATAGGGAACATAGATATATTGCATTGATTAATTAATTATCCTTTATGTGATTACGACAACGACTCATCTCAGTCGGTGAAGCAAGTATCCCATATTAACAATATAAATCACATTCCTTAATTAAATCATTGATAGCTTTGGTAAATTAATTGAATAATTTATACATTTAATAAAAAAAAAATACGACATTGGAATATTATAAATGCATATTATTATATAACACTACAAATGTCAACAGTGATACATTTATAATCAACGTTATATTATAAACAAGAATAAACTTGTGCAATATAAATTTGAATGCACTATTCTTAGATCTTAGAACTACAGCACAGCAGGACGTTAAGTTAATACAAAATGAAAAACCTAAAAAAATGTCAACAAGTTAAAGTTTAAAATGGATTTTTTAAGCAGTTTTGTATCAGCTTACGTGCTGTTGGCTGTACATTATATAACAGTCATTCCTACGAGATTCTCGACGTTAATGTGGAAAGCAGTGTTTAATCTACATAGCGATCTAATACTAAGACTTCATTCACTAGAATGTCATTTTTGACTATACAATGATTCAGTACAATTGGCGTTTTCGACTTTCTACAACTGACACTCGAAAGGTATCTTCATCTCAAATATTTTGCAGTATTTTAAGTTGATAAACTTTGCTCACATTTTGATGTATAGAAAAAGAGCAAAGAAGTAAGTATTGCTTAGATTATCGTCATATTTTGTTTTGAGGAATGTTACTGAACAAACGCAGAGATCGTTTTATTTCTACTACACCAATAAAATACGTTTTACTACATTTTATCAATTGTGTAAACATACTTTGACCAGATTACAAAAAAGTTTGAGATGTTCTAATTCTTATTCTAATAGTACTACAATAACTTAGGTTCATATTCATATTTTTTGGGGCTCTATAATTAAGTCTTATATTTTCGTAGACGATTTGAAGTAAATAAGTAACATTTTGACTCGCTATTATGTATATTTAATTTACTATTAGTTTATAAATAAGTGTGGCATTTGTGATAAATCATTATTTTATATATAAATACATATATTCTTATAAGATCGCATTAAGTAGCATTATGCACTACAGCATAATTACAGCATTTCGTTTCTTAAAATTACATTTAAATGTAAAGTAGTTAACTACTTTTTTGTGAAACGTGAACTGAAAAAAAATATCGATCGCTACTGTACGTATAGTACTATCGACAACTGGAGTCAATAATAATAATAATAAAAATAAATCAAAATAGTCGAGCTTGTAATTAAAATCAAAATTTCTCATTACAGTTCCGAGGTGTCTCGTTTCCAATAATTTGTTTTAATGTAATCAACATTTTTTAATGGATATCAGTTTGGTCGAGAGCTGATAACTTCGATTACCAAGAAACAGCAGGTATCATGATAACTCCACAAATTTTTCTTTACTTCATAAAAGAGGTACATATACTACTAAAAAACTATAAAGTCCTCTGATAGATTCGATTGTCATAAATATTTATTATGTCAATAATAAGCAGGATTGTCAATATTATTAGATATAAAATATTTTTCAAAAAATACATCAAAGTTTAAATAAAATACTACCAGAGTCAAGATAATAACTGACAGTATTAAGGTAGCTGAAATATAGTATTTCTGCGTAATACACATGTATTTTCATCAGTGTAAGTATAAATAGTATACTCGGCAGATCCAAAATATAATATAATACTAAAAAATATACAGCATGTAGAAGACAATCTATAAAGTGAGAAAGTCTACAGACATGCCTGCCAGACCTCGTTACTATAGGTCTGTGTAAAGACTGCGACGGCTATACACTAGCCAGACATGCCTGCCAAATAGTAACAAGGTCTGGCAGGCATGTCTGCAGACTTGCCCACGGGCCGTCTAGTCAAATCTCCGCTTTAGACGGCTCGTTTGCAAGAAGAACGACACAGTTTGCTACTGATTGGGATAAGATTTTAAACTTTCATATGATCATATTAAGCCACTATCAGATTTATTGTTCTGCAGTGTTATTAAAAAACATATTTTAGTTGATTTAAATTGTCTCGCAAAAACAATTAACCACGTGACATTTCGAGCAGTGACGTCACATTTCAATAACCATGAGTACTGGTTGCACTTGCAACAAAGAAGTCGACGTCTAGTTTATTGAAATTTGACGTCACACGATGCTCCGTCATGGCCGCCTGCGTGCGGTTCTTAAAATCTATGTATTATAATTGCAAAAACTAAATAAAAGTTTCCATTTCCAACATATTTCACGATTTATTATCAAGTAGCCAATTAAAAATCATGGATAGTCTTTAGTGACAATATGGCTTTTGAATTACATAGATTACACATAAATTATAAATGCTCGTATTCTGTCTAAGCCAATATTAATTGTTTCTCTGTCTAATACTAGTTTGTTTGAAAGTACCAATTTAAATTTTCTCATTATTCTTGCAAACAAGCGACATGAGCGTATGTTTTACATTTATCGGTCTTATATGTTTATTTTATATATTCCTGCGGTTAGTTTTAGAGGCGGGGGCGCGCCCTCAGGAGGCGGTTCTCAGTACAGGTTTACGAAGCAACAGTTCCGAGTCGGCGGACACTATCGGCAACTCGTTGGTACAATGATACTTGATAAGATGTGGTACACTCTCGAACACGCTGTCTTTCGTTCGTACCTTATAATTGATATAAATACTATATATTTAATAAGGCATATTACGCAAAGCTCGACGTAGATAGCAGCATTAAAACATGTAGAATTCAAATATTTTTTTCAAAAATTTTGCCTTTTGGAAATGACATCTAAATACAGGACCGGATCTAGGAGGGAGCAAGTGGGCGCACTTATCCCTGCGGCAGTGTCAGCGGGCCAAGATCATAATAATGTTACATCAGAAGTTAAGACCCCAATTTTGCCATGGAAAACATTAAAATGAATTTAATAATGAATAAATAAACTGAATATTATGTACACTCACCACACCGTTGGGGTCGACAAGCAACAAGTGTTTATGTGTTCCGCGACGTGCGCCCGTCAGTACAAACTGTCCCGGGCACGCCGTACTTTCGCGTACTAAGAATTCACCGTCTTCTACCACCAACTACAAAAGATAATAAAATCGTTAATCATCCATTTTCCTCTTCATTCAAGGCTCCAATTCTTAACAAGGTTATGTCCTACAAGTGAAAATACAATAATAAATAAAAATAATTTGAAAAATATTACATTAAATATATATATGGCATTTAATTTTCTACATAAAATGTAACAACTTTCATTATAAAAGCTATAAACATAAACGCACAAATAACAAAGATATTACAAAGATTGCCCAGACGTCCATGTTTTTCGTTACCGTAGCACTGTGTGACGTCACTTAGAGGCTTGAATTTGTAGGGAGCGGTTTTCGGAAAAAAATAATCAGCTAGTCTATTCTATAAAAAATCATTGTTGACTCATAATGTGTCAACAACTATCGAGTTGTAACATAAAATGGCCAACAAAATGTAGGTGTGTGTTTATATATTCCGAAAATACATAAATTCGGTTAAAACGCAGGAAAATAATACGATAGAAAACATGTGTGAACACTGTATTTCTACTTACCGGCTGGGTAACTTCGTCCTTTTTTCAAATTTATTTAAACAAAAAATATGCCGTTGGTAAACCACCGACCATCATAAAATCTTTACTTGATCATAATACTTATAAAAAGGCACTACATCTGGCAAAAGAAAAATTCCAAACATCAACGAATAGGAATTAATGTTAATTGTCAATCCAAAGTTGCCATATCTAAAAAATGTATTCCAATGTGGACTTGAAAATTAAATAACTTATTTTTGGGCTATTAATGTTGAACTTGAACATCAGTTACCTTTTCAGCGGTGGTCCTGGATATTGGTCCATGGAACCATGGCTCGCGCGCTAGTAGGGCCGCTTGCGTTTTACTCGACAGCGGCTCAACATCAGCCGGCGGTGATGACGCCGATGATGACGATGCCGCAGAGGATGTTAAAGGAGTCGCCGTGAATGGCTCTGAGTAGAGAAATACAATTAGAATAATAACAAATAAATAAAATATTATAGCATGGTCGCCGAATAGAGAATTTTGCACAATGCCGGGCATTGCATATCTGTATCACTGATGCGCAAAAATATTGCTATTGCGCTCGCACAAATGAATGTAGTCTAATCTAATTTTGTCATAGTCAAGTAAACCCATAATGTTAACGATATCTATCATTAGCAGAGGTCGGAATTAGGTAGAGTTATATATGTACTTGCATCGAAATGTTGATATTAATGTGGACCTTCCCGGGATTTCTTTATTCTTTATTTCTTTCTTTCATTGATGTAAGTTTGGCAACGTCGTGCGTGCAGTAGTTTAAATAGTGTAAAAGTAAATAACTTTTTATTTAAAAAATCACGGGATTTTTTCTGCTCTTTAAAATTAATCTCGGGATTTGAGGCATATCCACTTTATTCTTTCGCTGTATGAAATCAGTGTAAGTACATGAATAACTCTACCTAATTCCGACCACTAATCATTAGGCACAAAGGTGCTCAATAGGTATGTACAGTAGGTGCCAATAGGACCCTGTTATGGAATACCAGTGAAAACGGCGAAAAACTCACTGGTATTACACTTCTGACACCACTGTTACGGGGGCGGTCAGGAATGGCTTTTAAAAAAAACCTATTTATTTAACGCTTCGTTTATTTTGTATGAACAACACGATTTATTACAGTTTTAGAACAGTATGTTGTCCGACGAGAGTCCAATACAAAACTGATTTTATTCAATATTTTTGTGTTCAAGACTCGGTTTCCAATTGCATGCAATAGGAAACGTCAATGTTGCGTTTTTTTATTTTAAAAGGAACTTTAATAGGAACAGTACGAAATAGGGGCGTAGACAACTTTTAAAAAAAAATATTTTTATTTTATATATACAAATAAATTATAACTAAAAAATAATATCATTAATAAGTTAAAACGGCGTTGCTATGACGTCACGGAACTCGGAAACGAATATCGTTCTATGTATGCATAAGGTTGAATTATCTAAGTTCTGATATGGGTAAGAAGGGCGTGACGTCACGCGCTGTTTGCGGTCACGTGACATCGAGCATAAAATATTTGTTTCTAAAATTTCAAAATGAGTACCTACAGTATTATAGAGACAACATAGGAAATTATATTTTCTACATTTACTCGAACTTGAATAGAACCCGGGACCTGAGAGATTTTAGAATTCTTTGTGTAGAAACCATACGAACCATCGAACAGATGTACGCATCGAACAGTCAGAATTTTAATGTCACCTGTCGTTCATTTGCAATGTGTAAAGAAAATTCGTTTCGTACGCCTCCTTTCGGCCCTGTTAAATATGCAACAACCTCCATAACAAAGGTCTGTTATGTAAATCTCCCTAACGTAAAGTGAAAGAAATAAAAGTGAGATTTCTTAATTGCTTATAAAAATAGAACCTTTAAAACTCTTCATGTAACTGTGAAAATTAAAAAAGAAAATGCAAAGGCTTTTTCCTGTGAGCAATTATTGCGCGAACTTACACAAACTGAATTTGTTGGCTTCATTACAGTACTCATAAATAACAATATTATACTTACATAACAAAAAGAAACTTTTTCAATTGAAAGTTCAACGACATATAAACGATTAGCGCGCGTTTTATGAATCATGAAGCTTAGCTTATTATTTACAAAGATGCTTTTTTGTTTCGTTTTGTCAATGCCAGATCCAATATTTTTCTTAAATATTCATATAAATAACACATATAATTAATTACATCATGTTTGCAATATTAAGCATTCATCTAACTACTATATGAGTGAATTTGTTGCAATTATTCAACTTTAAAAATCAACTAAACCTCAATGTTAAACACAATTTGGGATACAGAGTAAGGATGTCGAAAAATAAATTCTGGTATAGCTTACGCATGTCAAAAATGTCTGTATGGTGGTTGGGTAAAAGCGCAGTGGGCGGCGTTCGTGGGGGCGGCGTTTGATTCACATAATGTCGGACGCTTTCCTCACACCTGTTATAAGCAGAAATTAAAAACATTTGAGGATTAGTTATTATATTTGATCGATTTTTTTGAGATCGACAATGCTATATTGAGAAATATTCTTAAAGAAAAATACTTAAAAACCAATTTGTCCCTGGCACTCTGGTATGGGACTTGAAACCATGACCTTTCGCAATCCGAGCTCTAACCGCTGAGATACCCAGGACCTACGAATCTTACTACAGAGTGTATTTTCATCAATGTTCTGGCAATACACTCAAACAGCTGAAAGTATTGTTTTCCACGTCAGATGCCAGGGACTAAGTGAATTTTTAAGCACTTTTTATTAAGTTATTTTTCAGTATAGCATTGTGAATGCAAAATTTATAAAATAATAAATAGGCGTCATTCAAAACGCAATTGGACATTTGATATTTAATTAATGTTGGTCTTGTTCGGTACGGAGATCAGTTATCAGTTGCAAAAAATAAATGTATGCCGATAAAGAAATGAGGAAACTTATTACTAAAGCAATTTCCTTAGCAACTTTCACAATTATACCAGGTAGGATATTATCGGGAATTTATTAATATAATTTAATTACGTAAGAGGATTTATATAATAACATTATAAAGATATATAATATAATTGTGGTTGTGTATATTATTGTGTAATGTACTTATGTACCTATTACCTATACTATTAACTAGTGAACCATTTCAATGGGACCTTGGGAAGGGACATAGGATAGCTTTCATCGCGAAAAATAGGCTTAAAGGTGAGGGGTGGAAGGCTAGTTTACAAAACGAACACAAAAAAAGTATGACATTTTATATTATGTCTTAAGATTTAATACAAATGGATAGGGGTTCACAGATTCATATATTGACTTTCAATAAGTATACTTACCATATGGGTCGTCTTCACTATGTTTACATAGCACGGCAAACATGCGCCAGCGAAATAACCTCTTAATAGCAATGTGAATCTAAATATACAATAATATACATACATTATTGTGGTTGCAAAAAAACAGCATCTACTTTCACAATAATGTGGTTTTTATGAAAAATCTGAAAAAATCAGGATTACGTAACTTAAGAACAGCTCAGTGGCGTAGTTGATAATCGACGCGGCCGGTCAAGAGATGGGTGACCAAAATATATTATTTCGAGCTAATCTGAGCTTCGGAAGGTACGATAAGACGTTGGTCCCGGCTGCATTTGCAGTAGTTGATTAATACCCTCTAAACCGCATTGGGCCAGCGTGGCTAGCCATCCTCCTTAATGGTCCATAAGGATGGCTTTAGGACGTAAACGCCGTTAGTACATCGACGCATTCGCTTGCGAATGTAAAACATATACTAAACTATGCGATTGCGAACAGGTTTGTCACCTTTTTTCAACGAACAAAATTGGTGACATTCGGATAGTCATCAGAAATCGGGACGGGCGGCAACCCTGAACACGAAACACGTGCGTCTGTGTAACGACATTTTTCGCATCTGACTGCGAAACCATACTGACAAGGACGCAGCAATTTCATCAAGCTAATAATAGAGCGAGACAAAGCACACGCGAAACATTACCATACAACTAACAAGATTTTACAAATGTTTCGGAGTCGCATGCGATTGCGTCGGTGTACTAACGTTGTAAAGGGCTGACGATATAAGCTGAACTTACGAGGATAAAGTCGCGAGATTGGCGAGCGGCGGCGGGGGCGGGTGGCGATGCGCAGGCGCAGGGTCCGGCGGCATCTTGTCTGGCATGTCGTTGTAGTAGTCGCGGTCCTCCAGCGGCGCGACCGATGATGACGACGCCTCGCCCGACACTGAACGGGACCCGTTTATGTTCAACCTTAAAGAAAACACCAACCACTATTACTTACAACAAGGGCTTCGCAAGGGGTGGGCGGGGTTGGGGCAGAAGAGCTTCTAAACAAGTTGCTTAATATAAAGCAACCAAAGTCCAAAATTTTTGATTTCACTTGCTTAATGTTCATTCTCATACGTCGAAACTAGAATGAATTTAGTTGAAGTGGGAGAAGAGGAGTGGTGTACATTCAAACCTTCAAAATATTTTTATGATAAATGTAATAATTTATCTATACTACAAATTTAATTTATTCTTCAGTTGAACTCTGTACTGTTGTTATTACAATTAAAGCAGATGTAAGGCTCGTACTATGAGTAAAATACTTCATGTTCTCTCAGCTTTATACTTAGCTCATTCCCCATAATCTACTTGTGATTTCACAATTCATTTTTCTGTTTAATTTAAAACTATAAAAGTATTTTAAAAATTGTCCCCAGTAATTTAACAGTTGCCTGGATTGCCGAAGGTTCATGGGTTTGAATACAAGGAGTCAGGGAAAAGGTGGATTATTTAAGCATTATTCATTAAGAATATTTTTCAGTATAGCATTGTGAGTGCGAAACTAATCCAATATGATTAATATAAGATACATGGTAGCAATCCTGTTTTTAGTTATCATTCTGATGTTAATGACCATGAAAATTTAAAACAACATAATCATATCCTGTCCGTAACATATAAACTTGAATAATTTTAATTGGTAATGAATCATCAGTTCCAAAATTCTTATAATATGAGTTTCAGATAAGGAAAACATTCAAAATATTGTTATCTGAAACTATAAAATATCAGGCGTGGTATTTGACCATTAAAATATTTAAAGGATTATATACTTACGATGATGGTTTCGTTAAAAATTCTTTGAAGCGCAGCTCGAAAGCCTGTCCAATCGTAGCTATTACATCTTGTGCCAATCTCCCGCCACATTCTAAAACATAGCACGCCCTCCACTCAGAGGGTGGTGCAGTCTTAGCTACATACGCCACAAAGTCTAAAGAGTCTGTGTCTCCACCTGAGGCGAATGAGACGCGAGGCATGTCATGTTTGGCGACTGTCTCTCCACCTTCTAAAGCTGCTAATGTTATAGCTCTGGATGAAACCGTAAGGGCTACATTTGCCCCAGAGTGAGCCATTCTTGGTCTAGCTGCGAGAGCCCTGGCTGCCGCTTGGCATACACGGCGTTTCTTGTCTGCTGATCGAAGCCCGGCTGCTGCGCAAACTCGCGCAATACATTCCCTGTCACAAACAATGATCATCAATTAAAATAGTAGCCTATTTTCCTCAAAAATAGAGACTTTAAGCATTACAACTTCTATTTCACACACATTAAGGTTACAACTGCGAAAATGTGACAGTACTGTATCCTCATGAGCAAATTTAAAAAAAAAAACATATTATTAACATTAATTAACAATTTCTAATAATATTTAGTTATTGGCTTCAGATATATTTTGGCAATACACTTACATAATTAAAGAAAAATTAAGATTATTGAAAATTGGCCATACAAAAATACAAACTAAACAAGAGTTCATTTTACAAATATAGTGCAAAATTGTGTAACAGTTACTGGATAAGATCTCCTGGCCTAACACACAGCAACCTAGCAAAATTTTTACAAAATAAAATTGGGATTTAAATCTTTAGAATTTTGTCTACTTGATTTTAAACCTTAATAATGCTCATAAAGTAAAAAATTACATTATATCATAGTAGCAGATTTTAATATTTATATAAATCTATAAGCAAAATATATCACTTCATATTTCATCATAAAAATAATACTAATTCCTAATAATCTATATCTAATTTATTATACTGAATATTTTCTGGGTTTTTACTTGTTAATATTGGTGGTATTGCCTTAAATTTTAGATTAAAAAGATTATATAATAAGTAAGGAATTTTTGTTGACAATACTTACTTAGCGACTTGAGATCTTGTTTCAAAATCTAATTTTTTCATTGAAGTCAACACTTCCATGCAGCCAATGTACTATAACAAAGATTTTATTAATGAATATTCATTTGCATACATTCTAATATATGATTTTATGAGATCAGTGTAAAACATAGGCCTCTCTCATAGAATTTCATGACAATGAGTCCTGTATTGCCCGCATCGATTGACATCCTACAACATTTATAAGGTCCCGTAAAATAAATAAAAAAATATTATTATTGATTTATAGTATTGTGGTAGCAGCATCTTAATTGGTGAAGTTTTGTAGACAATTGCACTTCTAACTAATAGAATATGTAAGTACACTTCACTGTACAATAGCCTATAATGTAAAAATCACAGCACAATCTATATCACTGGGTCCTCCAAATAAAAAATTTGCATAGCCAGAGGACAGAAATTTATTACTGGTAATTTGTTTAAACCAAACTCTGTAACTTCTATATATTTGATTACTTGGCATAACGTCTATTCAGTACATCTCTAATAATGACATTATGACAGACAACAGCATTCCCAGGGCCAGTTTCACCACTTGCTGATAAAGTCCCTGATAGGCTATCAAAAACTTATCTCCAGATATATTGCAAATTTTGGTTTCACAAGTCTTAGATAGAACTATCTGATGGATAATATCAGTGATTTTTTAACTGTCAGACAGCAAGTGGTGAAACAATTACATCTTTTTCTATGTATGACTAACATTAATTGATGGGATAATTTTTAACCTTATTTAGGTGTACATTACAACTAATAAAATTTGGATTTTACGTTGATCAATTATGATTTTCAAAGTAAATTAAGAGAATGCATACCCGAACAGCGTATGTGACTCCATCGCTGGCGAGCACAGCATCAGGATGTAGCCAGCCACGCACTGGTTTCGCAACAAAAGATCCACTATCTGCCATCTCTGATTCGTAAATCAGTCTTATAAAATAGAATACTTGATGTTCCTTGCTGTTCTAACGACGCCAACTATTTTATATGCACATTCATTGTGATTCTGATCGTATTCTATGATGTCGTTTAGTCGCCTTATTTATTAGACAAATCACAGTACGCGAAGACAAACAAGGTTTTGTAATTTTAATTTCACAAGTTATAAAATTGTTGAATGGACATAAAATGTTTTAACTTTTTTGTAAAAAATAAAATTTTCGGCGAAATAAAGTTTTCGTTTTACATCTGACAGTGTTTGACACACTTTGGTTTGACAGTGACAATGACAATTGTATGATGACTCTGTTGTTATAAAATAAAGAAAAAGGGATGTGGCCCATAGATCCATACCTAAGTTTTTCTTCTAGAGTAGAAGCAGTTGTTCAACGAATTTATTTACATAAGTATTATTAAAATTACAATGCACAAAGTAAAAGGATAAAAAAATCTTAACTTTAAAAATGTATTTATTAGTAATGGCCAGAGGTCGGAATTAGGTAGAGTTATTTATGTACTTGCATTGAAATGTTGATATTAAGGTGGACCTTCCCGGGATTTCTTTATTTCTTCTTTCTTTATTTCTTTCTTTCATTGATGTAAGTTTGGCAACGTCGTGCGTGCAGTAGTTTAAATTGTGTAAAAGTAAATAACTTTTTATTTGAAAAATCACGGGATTTTTTCTGCTCTTTAAAATTAATCTCGGGATTTGAGGCTTATTCACTTTATTCTTTCGCACTAATAACTCTACCTAATTCCGACCACTGCTAATGGCTAAGCCTGCGGATAGAAGATTTTTTTTTAATTTTTTTACAATCACGCTAACAAGTGACCTTCCCTAATGCTTTACTATTTTAATACAGTGGATTTCCATGTACTTCTTTTCGGTATCAATACCACTGCAGATTACTTTCCAAAGTTGAGTTTTATATCCTCTTTATTTAGTAGGACAGTAATAGAACTTGGAGTTAGCTTAAATATGAATCAAGATCTATAACTGTAAAGTCGCAAGTTATACAATATTAGAGATTACTTCAAAAGATAAGGTAATAATTATAACCGATCGCTTTGTTGCCCGTCCGTCTGTCTGTCTCCTTAATTTCGGGAATACGTGGAAGTGTGGAGATATCGAGTTGTAACTAAAACCTTCTTTCAACTCTTAAAGCTATGAAAAAATTAAACTCCTAAATTAACATAAAAAGATACGACAGCCGCAAAAAAACGCAATTTTGGACACCCTCGCGATTTAAAATATGAAATTACAAATGTACAGTTTTTAGGTTTTATAATACAAAATCGACGAGAAACCTAAAAACTGTCATTTTCTAATTTTGATTTTGAAAACAATTGAGATATTTAACTAACGATGACACGTTAGTTGAATATCAAAAGGTTGGATGTGCATATAAAAGGAGATATTCGGTTCCAGAACTATTCCTAAGTCACATATAAGTACGGAAACCTCAATTCAGCATCATCATACAATCGGTTTATGCCCCTTTTGCTTTTGTACCCAGAAGTAGGCATATTACATATCGCCATCCAGAAATAGGGAATAGTTCGGATCGGTGGATGTTAAACTGTTGATGCAGCCAGTACTAACGTCTTAAAATGCTTTGCGAAGCTCTCATATTTGTCGCCCATATAACAAATCTTTTCTTAATGACTCTTTTTATTTATAACAAATTTCAAATAAACTAGCCGTTTACCCGCGACTTCGGCCGCGTCAATTGTAACCTTATGTCACTTGCGTCCTGCAATGTAGGTTCCCGTAAACGAAAGAATTTTGAAAATCGGTCCAGTAGCTTCGGATTCTATTTAATGCAAACAAACAATCATAATATATATAATAGTGAAAAACTTTTATTAATGAAAAATGCTTAGAAAGCCACTAGTCCCAGGTACACCGAGATGGGACACGAACCCACGACCGTTCGCAATGGTAGAACAGTCGCCCGGATAGCGAAAGGTGGTGGGTTCCAACATATACCAATTTAAAGCATTCATTGTGAATGCAAAATTATAAAAATTATAATAGTGAAAATCTCCACCAGAAAGAACTCTATGAGCAAGATCTCATCCTTTTTCTGTGTTTAAAGGGAAACAGCCGTATAAAAAATAAGCGTCCATAATCTTAATCCAATCACAAACTTTAGAGTGTTCTTGTGTAAACATCAAAAGCGGAAAAAGTAATTCGAGAATCAAGTCGGCGCGATTTGCGGCAGTGGCAGCGGCGCGAGTTGAAAAGGTCTCCTCTGGCTGTTTGTTTTTAATAACGCAACATGAATAACAAAGTTGGCTCGTTTAGGAGTTTGGTCCCAACGGCCGCCGACGTTTATTTTTACACGCTGTTCCTACACACTGACGTTAAAGTTAAAAGCTGTTCCGAGAATTGGGCTACCGTGTTTGGGTTTTTGAAGCTGTATATGCTAAATAAATAATAGTCGATAAAATGATAGCAAAACATTCGATAACTTGAGATTCCCGAGTTTGATTCGAACCTGTATCATCTTATTTAAAACGAATATTAAAATTTAGTGCCAGGTTTATACGATTGTTTGGCCAAAATAAGCCAATAGGTCTTTTTTTGTCAATTTTTCCTATGTCATTGTCAGTCGCTTTAGGCGCCCAATGTTTCGTTATCTGGGCGACTGCTATAACTATTGGAAGTTGAATCTACTCGAGACCTTAGAGATTGTCTAATTTTATAAGTTATTTTAATAGATAAATATCATTTCAGTGTTTATTATTATTACATTATGATATTTAATAAGTAACTTATAGTAAGTAAATTTATAATATTTACATTATTGATATTATAAGTTTCAGAACTCATTTAAAAGAAAACCGTCTATGTGAATTTATCACAATAAAATACGCGAGTGTATAGAATTCATCAATAAATACAAAAGTGAAAGCAAAATTATAACGTCATCAGTTTTTTGTTAACAATAAAAAAAACTAAATGGAAAACTATGTAACTCTTTCGTATTGGATTTGGTATTTGTTTCTTGGGTTATATTTTGTTTTTTTTTTTTTTTTTATTACCTTCTGGCTGCTTGTGTTAATAAAATTGCAGTAAGATTAAGAATAAAAAACTCCGCTCCGATTTTCATAAGTATCCTTAATTTTTTTGAAAAAATTCTATCGCTTCAGTGTATCAAGGATGCTGTAGACACTGTATTCTACTGCATAAATAATTTTTCAAAGTTTCTGACCCTATTCAGTGCAAACAAACTATAGAATATTTCCACTTTGGAAATTAGTATACATATATATTTTGCTATCTAATATGTAAAACAATATATCTGAGTTCGTTAAATTAAATATGCGTTAATCTCTATAATATATTCATCAGTAAGCGTTGAAATTGTTAAACTTAATTGCACAAAATATATAATATCTATGAAGGAAAGCTCGGTCTACGCAGCTACGGAGGAAATTCGCCCTCCGTAGCGGCTTTAGCGTGTAGCGTCGCGTGGGGCGGCGCGCGTGCGTCAGTCGGCGGCCACCGCGCGTCGCCACATCACGCCCGGCATGCGTCGCGGCACCGATTACACACGGAACACGACCATACGTCACCACCGCGCGCCCCTGTAAGTAAAAAAACAAAATACATTTTAAAATTACAACACAACTCTTTTCATCGATTATTATTTGTTTTTTTTTTGTTAAATTTGGCACAGGAAACGCACGTTTCCGCACGTGGATCTATACCCCGCCGGCGCTCAGCCTTCTTTACGCACTAACAAATGAGCGGTTCGTTCGATAGCCCACTGCCCCTATGAGAGATTTCCAGAGCCCTTCTCAAGGGTTGTGCTGAATTCAGATTAATAGGCTTTGTATTGGATGTAGAACGATTTATGAACACGAGCCGGTTTTCCATTTGTTGGGGTTTTATGGAGGTCGAATATGAATATATATATTTTTTATGCCGGAACATTGTGCTATTCAGTTTTTTATATATAAAAATGTTACACAGATAATATGTGAAGTATACATGATAAGGAAAGTCTTATTTTCAGAGATCACGTACTTATGACAATCTGAGTAACGGATATTTTCTTCCTTTAGGTTGTCTTTGAATGTGTATGATTTACCCTTTGCTTTTGATGTTTCCTTTTGATTGATGAGATGGATTAATACCATATTCGTCGAAGTAACTTAATAAGGGTGTTTCATGAAGCCCTTATTTTGTTATAATACAAATATTAACGATTCGCTGGTTTTATTCAACTATCTCTCATTTATTATGTTTTGCGATTCTACATGTAAATAATTTTGTTATATAAAATGCTTACTTAATTAAGATCCTTTAGTAGCCTTTGATGGGCTAACGAATGATTGTCGGCCCAAAGATGGGCTAAGAGTAAAATTTTGCAACTTTGCGGTTTAAGATATTTATTTCTCACAAGAATTTACATTAATTAGTTACGTGAGGAATGGACAAAAATAAATTCCCAGTGACTACGAAAAGCTTGATGTTTATCTTTGATATTGCAAAATTACATATTTGTGGTGATTCCTGTAGAATTATTATAGTAACATTTTATTATTTGTCATAGTAGCGACTGCAGTTATATATTTTTTCTTGAAAAGGCATAGTCATGAGATATCTAAATGTAGGAGCAGACAGGCCATTAAAAGATCCAATTTATCGGATAAATGGGACGTGTGATTGATGATGTCTATAATTACGAAGACAAGAAAGATTGTTCTCGATTAAAAAAGTGAAAACAGTGCGAACCGATTGGCGAAAATTTATGTGAATAGAATGATTCGAACACCGATTCCGGAGTATGTAAATGATTTACGAGTTGAAATGGTCCTTCTCCCCGGCGAACCGCGTGGAACACTATAAGTGTTGTAGGCGGAGAGCTCGTGACGGAAATGTGCAAGAGGTTTTTAAAGCTTGATATTTGAATATGTTGTTGTAGAACATCGCTCAGTACTCCAGTGCGGAGGTCAGCTC